CAAGGGATGCCGAGAAAGACAGGGATGCCGAACATACCAGGCAAATAAGCATAGGGAAAACGGAATGATGCTAGACTTAAGCATTCATGAGTATATATATTCATGAATATTCATGAATTATTCAAGCGGTGTCAATCTGTATATATTATATATTTATTGAACAGAATACCAAGGTACATGCTTGGCCAGGGTCGGCAGCTATCCCGACTCGGGGCTGCAATCGGCTCGGGATAGAAAGACATTCGGTGTGCCGATTGAGAAAATGTGGAGACAAAATTCAACCGATCGGAAATCTCTGCACGGGAGTCGACCAAATCCTCACCGGTGGTGGGTCTCTGCTCTTTTCCATGTCCAACCTGGGTTTCTTATCAGCACGTTTCAACTGGAATTTGTTCGATATAAATAAGACTATCTCCCTCTATGTTCAGAACTTTCTTTTTTTTTTCTTTGTTCCTAATTTAGGCCTAAACTACAAATCACATATTCTTCAGTTCTTGATTTTAGCTATGATCAGCGCCCTATGACCGGGTAGAGGCCAGAGTCCACGCATTATGACCCACTTCTCTTGGTATTGGTAATTTTTGTTTTTTTGTTATTGCTTTTTCTCTTTTTTTTCTCAGGGAATCCACCTAGTTTCAGTTGCCTTTCGCTTCCGTCTACGGAGTATATGTTGTATTTTGTAGGGGAAATTGCCACAGTTTTCAATCGATTCAGAAACTCCGGTACCTCCGTACATTCTATACCTATGTAAACACGGCACCAGCACCCGGTGTGAAGAGATCACCTGGGCATGTACGTCACTTTAATAGACATGAGTTATTTATTCTTCCATTGTAGTCTGTACATTGCAGGAACCGGAACCCGAAGTGTCATGGTCACTGTTACGTACTCATACCTGGCAGTTGGCCCAGGCACCGCATTCTCATTCGTGCATTTGCACTAAGGACCCAGATATCTAACTGAATTCCGTATGTTTCTAGAAGGTGGTAAGAAGGTCGGGTGATCAGTTATTTTTATGCTCACATGTACTCTTTACTACAGGTGTTTATATCGTGTAATTTGCATACATGGATATGTATGTACATTTGAAGCTTCTGACTACATGTATGTATACAGTATCACGAAGGCAATATTCTTTTTGGAATAAGTGCAATATATACAGCAATACAATACGTTTTCAACTCACGTGCACTGCTAACATTCCCCGTCCTCCACCTTCTCCACCAAAAAAAAGAGGAACCCAAACACGGAGTACGGAGTACATGGCGCTAGAGATTGAAAAAGACCAAAACAGACTTTTTTTGGCCGTTGAGTGAAATTTACAACCCTTGAACCCCGATTTCACCCCGAATTCACCCCATCCCATGTAAAGAAAAGCGCGGGACAGTACAATGTAAGATCCGGGCCCCCGTTTTTTGCTGGTAGTAACTTTGAGAGTATCCACGGTACAAGGGAAAGAGCCACCCGAGACTTCCCAACTATTTAGTTCGCCCTCTCCCTTTCTTCCCCTTTTTTCTTTTCCAAATTTATTTATTTTCTGTTGAATCTGTTCAATATGGGTGTCTCTACCTTTATGGATAAGATCAAGCCTGGGAAGGGGGAGTCCCAGTTCTCCTCCCAGGCCGCAACTCCTGCTCGTGCCGACTCGACTACTGCTGAGAAGGATAACCTCACTCTCGATGATAGCCCCGTCAAATACTTGACCTGGAGGTCTTTCATCCTCGGTCTGTGTGTCTCAATGGGTGGTTTCATTTTCGGATACTCTACTGGTAAGTGTCACACAGCCATGGATGTAACGTTAATAATAACCGAACCTCAGGTCAAATCTCGGGTTTCACCACCATGATCGACTTCAAACAGCGCTTCGCTGAGTACAATGCTGCCACTGGAGAATATGCTTTCAGTAACGTTCGCAATGGTCTGATTGTCGGCCTGGTACGTTGGAAATGTTTTTGCATTCCCACATGCCAAGTCATTTACTAAACTATACTAGCTCTCTATCGGAACTATGATTGGTGCCCTGGTCGCTGCCCCCATTGCGGACCGCATTGGCCGCAAGTTCTCCATCTCCTTCTGGGCCCTCCTCCACATCGTCGGTATCATTGTGCAGATTGCCACCACCGACAAATGGTACCAAATTGCTCTCGGTCGTTGGGTTGCTGGTCTGGGTGTCGGTGCGCTTTCCAGCGTAGTCCCCATGTACCAGTCTGAGTCTGCCCCTCGCCAGGTCCGTGGTGCTATGGTCAGTGCTTTCCAGCTCTTCGTTGCCTTCGGTATCTTCATCTCGTACATTGTCAACTTCGGCACCGAGACCCTCCAGAACGCCGCCTCGTGGCGCATCACCATGGGCATTGGCTTCGCCTGGCCCCTGATTCTTGGTGTCGGTACCCTCTTCTTGCCCGAGTCCCCTCGTTTCGCCTACCGCCACGGTCGTACCGAAGAGGCCCGCAATGTCATGTGCAAGCTCTACGGTGTCCCCCACAACCACCGTGTCGTTGCCCAGGAGATGGCCGATATGAAGCAGAAGCTTGAGGAGGAGCTCGCCCACGGCAATGCTCCCTGGCAAGAGGTCGTCACTGGTCCCCGCATGTTGCACCGTATCTTGCTCGGTATTGCTCTGCAGTCTCTGCAACAGTTGACCGGTGCCAACTTCATCTTCTACTACGGAACCAGTATCTTCCAGGGTATCGGTCTGAGCAACTCTTACGTCACCTCCATCATTCTTGGTGCCGTCAACTTCGGTATGACTCTTCCCGGTCTGTACATCGTCGAGCACTTTGGTCGCCGCAAGTGTCTGATGTACGGTGCCGCTTGGATGTTCGTCTGCTTCATGATCTGGGCTTCCGTCGGCCACGAGATCCTGAACACCAACCCCTCCTCTCACCCTGCCGGTGTCGCCATGATTGTCTTCACCTGCTTCTTCATTGTCGGCTTCGCCACCACCTGGGGTCCTATCGTCTGGGCCATCTGTGGTGAGATGTACCCCTTCAAGTACCGCGCTGTCTGCATGGGTGTTGCTACCGCTGCCAACTGGACGTGGAACTTCTTGATCTCTTTCTTCACCCCATTCATCTCCAACACCATCGACTTCCGCTATGGCTATGTTTTCGCCGCCTGCTGCTTCCTCGCCGTTCTCGTTGTCTTCTTCTTCGTCAACGAGACCCAGGGCCGGACCCTTGAGGAGGTCGACACCATGTACGTCCTCCACGTCAAGCCCTGGAAGTCCTCTGGCTGGGTTCCCCCCGAGGGCATCGTTGACGACCTGCACCGACCTACAACCGGGGGTCGCAAGGAGGGTGAGGCCGGCACTGGTGAGCACCAGCACCACGACGAGTCTCAGGAAATTCGCGAGTAACGCGATAATGGCTGAACGATAGCGCGTATCGCGCGCTCGCTTGTGTTTCGAAAACAATTCTGTGTTCATAATTAACTCTACTCCTTGATCAGTTGAGTCTCCACCATATCCCTATGGAGACCATGATTTAATAGCTACAAGCAAGGCTTGTTTTAGCAATATTATTTTTTATCAAAATTGATTCAGGTCAGCTCTCGAGCAGATGCCTTTAACAAGACCAGATCTAATTCTACCATCCTCCTAATAACCTCATTGATTCCCAAATTCCATCCCAGCTCCCTTTCTAACCGCCCCATAAACAGCAGCAACATCTCCCTTAACCCCCTTGACCTCCTTAACATTTTCCAGAAGCCCATCCATAACCTCAATATTCTTCATCCGCAGTCCTCCCTCTTTCGCAATCCTATAAGCATGTCCCAGATCCTTCCTAGCAAGATCAACTGCAAAAAGTGGCTCCTCCCGGGTACAATAATCCCCACCCAACATCCTCTGCGCATAATTGGCAAATGGCCCTGGCGCAAAAAGCCCCAGCCATTCTTGCAATGGCTCAACCCCAAGGCCAGACGCCTCAGCGGCGACAAGTGCCTCAGCAAGAACACCAACAGTATTAAGAATGAACGTGTTACCCAGTACTTTCAGTGTGGACGCCCGTCCAACATCTATATCAGCTCCACTTCCAGATGAAAGGTCAATCGTCTTCTTGGACACGATACCGTCGAAGAACCGTCGCACTTTCTCAATTGATGCACGCTTCCCAGCTGGAACGACGATAAGTTGTCCCGCGTCTGCCATATTCGGTGCCCCGAAGACGGGACACGCGACGAAACCTGCTCCCCGCTCGTGCAAGGCTGCTTCTGTTCGTCGGGATGTATCCGGGTGCACAGTTGAGCAGTCGATGAAGGTCTTGTTAGACAGGTCTTGCGGGACTCTGGGATCCGACAGGATTGCGGTGACAATGGAGTCGAGGGCGGTGTCATCGCCGACGCAGGTAAAGATCAAGTCGGAATCATTTACTGCTTCGGCGAGGGTTGTTACGGCTTTAGCGTTCGTGAGTTCCGAGGCGTGGGCTGTTGCTCGTGCGGTCGTGCGGTTATAGAGAAGTAGGGGGCCGGTTTGGGGGCCTTTCTGGGCGATGTTTCGGCTCATGCCCTGCGATAGCGGGTAAGATGAGCTCATCGTTTCTTTTATTTGGGGCAGTAGATGTTTACTTACACGGCCGATGTTGCCGAGACCTATCCACGCAACTCGAAGTCCTGTCATGATTAGTAGAGATGTGGATATCGCGAAGACGGTAAGACTCCTGGTCGGGGAAGCATCGGGACTTTATATGTGTGGGGTGTGGGGTAAAACGGTTCAGATCTTAGCCGGTTGGGGTCATCGAAGTAGTTGTACACATGTATACATGTATTTTATATCCTACTGGTATATCCATCCCATTTTAGCTTCCTCAACATCTTTCGACGTGAAGCTACAATGTCCCATAGGACCAACCGAAACAGCGCCCCACTTAACAGGCAGAAGAGCCATATCCTCCTCATCCTCATCTTCCGAATCCACATCCACATCCCCATCCTTCCTTCCGCCATTCGGATCAAAATTCGGATGACAAGCAGCAGAAATCGCCAAACTACAACTCCCCGCCACAGGCATCGCCGACTCAAAGCGCCGGAAACCAAGTCCTACCAGACAGAGAAACATACAGCCACCGACCACAACAGAACTCAAAATCGCAACAGGCGAGAATCCACACGTAGTCAGGTCTCGCGAGGGATTTCGCACCATATTCGAGTCAAATGCCTCAATCCCGACCATAAACAAGCTTTGGGAGATCAGCCAATGGAGGACGCCTGAAAGCAGCAGGAGGGGTGTTGCATAGCGATACGGCATCGACAGGAAGTAGTTACTTCGCTGGGAGAGTCGGGGGTTATTCGAGACACGGAGGCCTTTGTGATGGGTGGCGTAGCTGCTCCATTCGGCAGCGAGGGTCATTGCAGTTAACAAGGCGTTGAAGGCGAAGTAGAGGAAGGAGAAAATGAGTTGTGGGGCGTTGGCGATGAGGACATTGGGGAGGAGAGTGTTGGGCCAGTTGTCGCCTTTTATTAAGGTATCGGCAATAATGGCGCCGAGCTGTTGATTCCAGATATCGACGCCTTTACCGACATCTGAGAGGCCGTATGCTAGTAGGGAAATGGATACGCCGATGGCAAGAATCCAGCTGGGCAAGCAATTTGGTTAACTCGGGTGAAACCAAGATAATAGGGGTCTTTCACTCACAGTACTATGCTGAATATCCACCGTCGAGCAGAGACTGCCGAGCCCCATATTCTGCGCCTCTTAATAAACGCGTCTGGTCTGCGCCATTCTGGCAGGAACTGGTCGTGGGATTTAACCTTGCTATTGGTAAGAAGACAGCAGCTTTGCGTGTACGGGTCCGGACGATGTAGGAAGGAAGCCACGGCATCACCAATGGTCAAAATAGGAGCATCGGGGATCCCAAGCCATATATAGAGCAGGACGGTAGTTTTGACAATATTGAACCCAATGACTATGATCGTGAGAGGCAAGGAGTACTGCAGCTTACAGTACTGCGGCGCCTCCTCAGCCAAGCAGGAGTCTACTTTGTAGAAGACACCGCCGTCATTACGGTCCTCTACCGTCCAGTTGTTATCGGCGATTAGTGTATGAGCGATGGGTAGGTAGGAGCTGTCGCAGTGATTATCCCAGCTTGATGGACATAGCCATTCGTATGGGCCTTTGTTGGAATCCAACAAGGCTTCGTAGGGGTTGAATACATCCTGGGTACCGACAAGCGTGTATGTGTTGTTTTCTGCTGTATCCGCGTTCACCAAGAGGAGTTTCCTGTATGTAGACTGGTACGTTTTCCCAAACGCATTGAGGCAGTCGGTGTCATGGAGTTGGGCCAGCGTCTCATTCCGTGCCGCGTAAAACAGGCCATGGAGTGAGTTGTTCTTGCTCAAAGACTTGGAACCCGTCAACTGCAGATCAGACCAGTCTTTCTGTGCAAGAGATCCGCTACCGGCGAAGATATCGTAGGCGGAGACTGCGGTAGTTTCGTAGATCGCCGAGTTGTACCTACGTTGAATTAGCAGCTGTACTGACAGTGGAAATGAGATCGGGGATTTATACATCAAATGGAAGGGGAGCGAGGAGGATGCCAGGCATAGCCACAATAACGAGCGCCCTACAGATACCCGAAACAGATTCCGTACGCTCGGCACGCCGATGTCGAGCCACCAGCCCTTGCGATGTGCTCGATCTATGGCTTGTCGAGTTGGAGCAGCCAAACATTGCTGGAAGATGTCAGCTTGCTAATTCTAGCACCTTCCCCAACGACACCTCATACCATTCCGTAATTACTGGCGCTCAATAGAGAAGTACTCAACAAGTTGACCAGTAAATGGAGCCCGACGCTTAAACGGTGCACCTTCTCGCAGTCGCCCTCATACAACACCCTGCTCCTGTCATGATGTTCTCCCAACTGATATTCTAATTGATATTGGAGGCTGTAACGCCCTATGTCGTCTTCCTTCGGGTGTGTCGCGGTGTAGAGTAGAAAGCCCACATTGAAGAACAAAACGATCAAGCTCGTGATGAAGGCTAAAAAGACGGTGAATTTCCAGCCTTTGAACCGATCGTTGCCTCGAAGGAGTATATTCCGCTTAAGTTTGGATTGTTCCTGGTCGCTTGATTTTTGCTCCGACTCTCTTTCTGAATATCCCGATGTACTCTGAATGAGATGGTCGGAACTTTGGAAGTGACGGGGAGTCGGTAGTAATTCAACATCTCCCTCGAAGGAAACCCTATCCGGCATTGTATCCGATGGGACATCTGCTCTGGATGTCTTGAAGGTTTTTGAAACAGTTATAAGCAGCAAATGCCAAATTCATATGATTTCTAAAATAGTGGAGGCTCAGCTCCCCGGGGGTGTCAGAGACACGCCACATCTTCAGGGGAAGGACCAGCTATGTGCCCGCCCCTAAAAAATCAGTTTTTCCCCACAGCCTGGCTAATATGCAGCTAAAAGTTGGGGGCCAAGTCGCTCGGGCAATGAGTGATCGCCATCTCGGGCGCGACAATATGTACAAAGTAGGTCAAAGAAAAAGGATTAATTGCATGATGGGACGTGGCTCGTCGCCCCGTACATCATACTCCATATTCGAATACTCTTTGAAGGGTTCAGTTGTGGCATACTCTATAAAAACGTTTCATTGTGTGGGAAATTAGTCTCTTGGCATCTGCATATCACCACGGACATACTCCGTATATTGTAGATCATCGGTGGCCAAGAGCTGCCCCGGCCACAAAGGCATATCCAAAAAGCATATGGAATCAGATCAAAACCTGATACAGTCTAAAGCCTCGATTTCTCGACAATCGTAACATCCTGAAATGGCAACCCGAGATACGCCCACATAAATGCAAACCTATAACAATTAGCACCCGTTCAATACACAGAGACCATACGAAACCTACCTGTCACTACCAAAAAACGGCTCCTCTTTGCCTTCGGCATTCCGCACCCAAAACCAAGGCGCGCCGTAGGCTCCTTTATCAAGAGCAATCTGCGTATTAGCCGTCAAAGCCTGCTTGAATTCCGGGCTTGATGCCGCGGCCAGGATCTCCCTGACTTCCGAATCAGAGAACCCGTTGCCCTGGAACAGCTCAGATAGCTTCTCTGGCTTGCTAATGTCGATATTTTTGTAGAACATCCACTCCCATAGTGATAGGAAGGTTGTTTCGTACTTCTCGCGTGGGAAGTGATTTTTGATGTAGATCATGCATCGTTGGGGCTGGTTGGTTAGTGACAGAGAAATACTCCAAGATAGATAGTGGATGTTACCATGATTGAGAGGATTGGGAAGAATTCTGGTGTTTGGATCTGCGGGACTCCAAAGTATTTACACGCTCTCTCTGAGTCGAATTTGGAGTACGCTGCTTTAGCGGGCAGTGTCCAGGGCGGTTTATTTCCTGCTCAAAGTGTCAGTGACCCTGATATTACTCCTTGATAACAGAATCCGAATGATATTTGGATGCGCACCTGAGCCGACGTTAATCCCGCCTAAGAAGACCGGGTGGAATCTGTCCGGTTAGCACACATCTCATGTAACAACCAGGGATGTCCATACTCAACCTCGACCCCATGTGACTCTAGAGCTTTGCGGTTCTTTCGCAGATAAAGCGTCGCATAGTACGAGTATGGCGATACTGTCGAAGCGGTAATTAGCGAATGGAAATCCAACGGTCCAAAGGGTGGACCTGAGAGCTTGCATACCGCAGTCAACATAGGCGTCAATCTTGCCAGGCATGACGAATAATTCTCGATAAGTTTCTATTTAATTAGTACTCCGTATTACCAGTGCGGTCAGTTGAACCAGCGAAGTTGAGTTGGTTATAGCAGAGGTTGGGGGCCGAGGTGGAGAACCTTGGAAGGACCGAGGCCCGCCAACGATGATGAGGTGATCATTTTAATTTCCCAAATAGTCAACAAATTTGTTAGTTCTATATTGGATTTTATTTGGGAAGAACATGGATCGATAAATGCATTAAAATTGGGCTATGTAGGATATGGATAAAGTACATATGCACTCTGGATTCGGTATCTCATCCACTCAATCCTTGCGGCTGATAGCCGACTGTCGAGTATTGACCAGATCCAAGTCATAAGGGTTCTCCTCGTATTGCGCCGCAGTTGCAACACGATTCAAAGACCGACCAGATCGCCGAGATGCGCGGGATGCATAACGCGCCATCGTACCGCGAGACGGAACAGTAGACAAAGTATCAGTATCACTCGAGTCGGCATCGTCAGACACCCGAGTGACCGAGTCTGTCTTCTCATCCTTCTCTAAATCAGGCTCCTCACGGCGGGCCGCCTGGTTTTTCTCAGCAAGGCGGCGCATAAAGGCGTCCGCCTCGGAAGCGTATGTACAGCGCTGTCTGATGCGCGCGCCATACTTGTAGAAGATAAACGGGAATGGCACGCACGCAAGCGCCAAAAAGGCCGGAATCGACGAGGCCCAGTGAATGCCCAGGTTATGGTACATGTAGGTTGTGAAAAGCGGGAAGGCCATGCCGAACAGTGAGCGGAGGGCGGAATTTGCGGCTAGCACCGAGGCAGAAAATATCGTGTATGAGTCGATAAGGTAGTTGAACACGCTGAGGAAGACGAGGACCATACCAAACCCGAAGGGCGCTCCTGCTGCGACTGAGGCCATCCAGTGGATGTTGGGCGAGTTGGTCCAGGCGAACCAGAATAAGCCGATTGGTAGTGCTATGCCGCCGACCATGCTTGGGGGTAGTCTCAGCTCGGGGGCGAGTCGCCCGGTGGTCTGGCTGCATTTTTTGGCGTAGCGGAAGTTCTCTGGGAATGTGTATATCACGGCTATCACCATACCGACGAGGATGCCGAGGAAGGCGAGACCGCCAATGCCTTCGCTCCAGCCACGGACTTCTTGGAAGACGATTGGGTAGGCGGCGAAGAGCATGTACAATGTGCCGTAGATAATTGCCATGTAGATGGAGAAAAGTAGCACAATTGGCTCACAGAGGAGCAGGATCCACGGTCGGGAAAGCGCGGTTTTCAGCGTCTTGCCCATAGGAACGGGGCCACGGTCGATGTCAAGCTGACTGCGATACACTTTGCCAGTTAGGGCAGACATCCTTTCTGCGCGACGGCGCAGTAGGACAGGTGCATATGTCTCTGGTAGCAAGAATATGATACATAGCCAAAGCAAACCCGAGAATGCAGCAAGTAGTCCCTCCACCCACCTCCAGCCGGCAGCGGCAGCTAGGAATCCTCCAATAACAGGGCCTAGTGTCGGTCCTAGAAAGGGTGCAGCAGCAAAAAGACTAATAGCAATACCACGCTGAGAAGCTGGAAACATGTCCGCAATGGTGCCGCCTCCATTTCCAAACGGCGAAGATCCAAAGGAACCCGCTAGGAAACGCAAGATAATGAGGGTCTCAATGTCCTTTGCCCCTGCCGCGCCGGCATTAAATACAGTGAGGAACATAAAAGAGATGGTAAAGATATGTCTCCGGCCGAAGATCTCACTAAGGGGTGCCCAGATCAAGGGCCCAATAGCGAATCCGAGCACAAAGAGCGATACACCTAGAATGACGATTTCCTGGGCAGCACCAAAGTCCTCCATGATCTGGCTCATTCCACCTGAGAATGCGGATGAGACCAACGATACTGCGAGAGTAACGAATGACACTAGAAGTGTAATAGACCACTTCTTAATTGGGCGGAAGTTCATGGGGTTGCGCGGGTCAGCAGGGATCCAGACCACGGCGTATGGATCGCCTTCAGTGCCTGAGCCTGCGTATGGGAATTGCATGACTTCCTTGGTGATGACCTTTTGGTCAAAGATCAGACGCCAGAAAGGGACTTTTGAAGGCTGCACGGCCTCGCCCTCGGTGGGGACTGTCATGTTTGGTCTCAGGCCAGCTATATAATAACTGGAGTGATATATACGTGTATATATATTGGAGGATATGATGACAACAAATAATATGAGAAAAAAAAAATTGTATTGAAACGGCCCAAACAGAAATAGAACAGCCGAGCAGCCTCGGTTTAAACTATTAAAATTGTATACTCCGTTTAATTTGCTGACGGCGAATTACGCAAAGGAGTTTAGCGTGCCTATTTGGGTTTAGCGCCTGTCTGCGCGTTACTATCGCCGTGCGTGTTTCTATGAAGTCCGCTTCATCGCCGCCTCAACTTCTCTGCTTTTCGCCCTTCTACTCTTCCTTTCTCTCCGTTCCTCAAGTGCGCCTTGCAAGTGAGGCATTTTTGCCATTGATCCGGATTACTGAGCTCTGCCACCCCCAATATTTCCAGCTTTCCAGCGCGAACGGCTGGCCAGCCCTTCGAGCCCTCCAGCGCAGTCATGCGCTGCTTTCCCTCCCCTGGCCCGATTTCCGCTCAGCTCTCACCTTTACGCTCGAGATGAGGCGTTTTTGCCCTTAGTCCGTCGCGCCGAACTGCAGTTCCGGCCCCTAACTTGTCAATCGGTCGGTCGGTCTCCCAACTTCCGCGCATCCAGGCGTATTCGCCCTTCACTCTTTCCGGAAAATCGCCCGTGTGCAGCGGGGCTTCAAATCTGCCTTGGAGGTGCAAATCGAGGGCGACGGCGTTGGCAGACTTGGCTAATGGCGTCCGTATTATTCCGGAGCCGAGGAAGACCGGGATCGAACTGGCCAGTGTACGTGATTAACTAGACTGTCTCAGGCGCTATATGCAGAAGCCAGTGGTTGTTAAAGTCCACGAGAGTTGACGAGACGATAACAATGATACTCCGTCCTTTCACGATAATCATAATGCTTCACGGCGGCCATATCGAAACCCAGCACGATCTCTAAACCTGAAGTCCTTGCCAGAAGGTCTCAAACCGTATCACCGACTATGACCCCGTCCTGACACCCATTTGGAGGGTATTTGATACGTTCGATGGTGCTCAACAAGGTGATCCCGAGAAGGGCGCACGTGTGATTGTCGAGGCGTTGACAAAAGAGGCGAAGGAGGTGCCGTTTCTCTTGCCAGTTGGACCGGATGTGCCAGAGGCAGAGTGGCAAGCCCATAAGGGATGAGTTGAGCAGATGCAGGCTGTCCAGGATTGGGCCAGTGGAACCGACGTAGACTAATGATATATTTCACACGGGGCATCAGAGGCAAAAATTAGCAAGGTGTGTGTCAATGAACGGAATTGCTTGAAGCGTCAAGAAACGGTATTTTCAGACAGAGACGAACAAGACTAGCTAAGCTCAGAAGTAGATATTCATATATATGTCTAACTCCACAATCACGGCTGTATACAAAGCAATGTTCGTTTCATGTACATATTTTCCACAAGTAACCTACAGGAACGAGGGATTTGCATTTCTCTTAACTACCTCAAACTATGTGGCTCGTGTTATTGGTATACTTGAGCAAATAATGTAATACTGTGCGGTCTTTGCGAATTGATCCTGAAAGTCAAAGAAAAGCCAGTGGAATCTCACGTCCACTCTAAGGTGTATAGTACGTACAATAAACGGTTAATCATATTTACGCTTTGGGAATGTCGCTCAACGCGCTTATGGCTTTGAACTCCTCCACAGATGCCAATGTTCTGGATGCAGACTTCGATATCTCCTCGCTGGCATCACTTCCCAAAGGAAGCAACTCCGGCAACTCCCTCCCAGCTGCAGCCCCGGAAGAGGTGACCACATCATAGATGATTTGAGCTCCCTTGACCGGGTCACCGAGCTGAGCACCATGGAATGCAGCAAAGTTCGCATCAGTTGTACTGTTGAGTTCTCTGTATGCAGGTAGGCGGCTGCTCTCGCTCGTACCAGAGATATTGGCAGAGGGGCTTAATAATTCGGTTCGGAAAAAGCCTGGTTCAACCAAGCAGTGGTTGATGCCAAAATGAGAAATCTCACCAGCTAATCCAATTGCTAGCCAGCGCAAGGCTGCCTTGGAGGCATTGTACAGGTTGCAACCAGGCATGGGGTACCAGGCAGCCATGGAGCCAATAGTGATCAAGGTACCAGTGCCTTTCTCACGGAGATGCGGGAGCAGCGCGCGGTAGAGGTTTAAGGGACCAAGCGTGTTGGCCTGGAACTGGCGTAAAGTGTCTTCTGGGGAAACCTCCTCAAGCATACCGGTCTGGACATATGCAGCATTGTTGACAACAATGTCAACAGTGCCATAAATCGCAAGAATGTCCTTGACAGCATCCTGAATCTGAGAAAGCGGCTTGTTGTGGTCGAGATACACTGGTTTCACCTTGTCTGACGAGACCAGTGAATTGAGCTTCTCAGGGGTTCGTGAGGCAGCAAGAACACGATCACCTTGGCGGGCAGCAACGCGGGTAAGCTCGAGGCCAAAGCCAGAGGAGGCGCCGGTGATGAGCCAGATGCGAGACATTATGATTGGATTAGAGGCAAAGTAACTAATAAAATAGTGTGTTGCTCTTTAGGAAGCGGAAGGTAATCAGCGTTGGTGAAGAGTGACTGTTCGTTCGTTTTTAAGTGAGCACCATTCCGGAGTCGTGTACACACGCATTATGGGTAAGCCGGACGCGCGTACAGGAGTACGAAGTACTATGCTTCATTTGTACCGAAGTACAGTGACACCTCATAAGTTTTAACGACACCAGCCCACCTCTCTATTACATAATATTCTGCCGGTCAAAATCCCCCTCCCTCCAACAAGATTAACCATGTAGCTATTACGTCGCAACTATCATGCCGGAAACTTGCTTACTAAGGTGAAAATTTACCCCCTATCTCAGAATAGATTTTCAAGCGGTGATACGGATGATTTTGGCCCCTTGTACCATGACTTGGTGAGCAATTAGGTAGGCGGTAGAGCCACGATGTAGGCGGTGTGATTGTGCGTGTTGTTGTTAAAACTTATGAGATGTCACTGTACATCCTATGTACTCTGTATGCCCCGCGTACTTCGTGATAGGCAAAGGCTGTCGGTAAAGCCGATTGGCAAATAACGAGGCGAATGCTCCATTTACAAATACCTGGATCATGGCGCAGACGGACCCAAGTATGCATGTACATTTTCGAGACATGATAGCGCGGTCTTCCCCTCAAGATTTTCCTATTACGGAAAGACCCCTATGTTGATAGGTGTAATGCTTCGCACACATGCCATGGACAGACCTGCGTAAATACTGAATGCGGAAGAGTTGCTTACCAAGTACACTTCGGTTCTGAGAATAGATTCGCACTACTATTACAGTCAAAGATTGGAGGACAGTGGCCTGAACAAATTGTATACAATCTGGACAATTGAATAACTATTTGTAGATAACACCAAAATCAATCCGTACTCGCTTAAAAAAAATTAACGGTTCCTAGTAGTATCATGCCATGTCCAAAGCTGTATCAGACCATTACCTCTTGACTTTCAATCGGCATGTTCGCATTCAGTTCCATATGTAACAGTATGTACCGGATTTTAGGCCGTGGATGCGAATTTCCACATCGGGGTGCTGCCGCTTTATGAGGGCGCTCAGTGTCCTGCTCACTGAGTATTTCACAGCACAGGGTGATCACTCAGTCAGCACTCAGGTCGTGCTCACCTTACAGCCTTAAAATAAAGGCCGAAAAAGAACAGTTCAGTCACGTGATAGGTGGGTCACTTGTCAGCCATCTATTCTGTGATACTAGCGCCAGCAACTAAAAACCTTTCAACATTCCATCCTTTTCGTCGATTGCCCCTGCATCAGGAAATGTATTCACTAATATGACCGTCGGAAGATGATGACGCAATTAAATACATGGCTAGTGCTTTTGCCCTATCCCGACTTTGGCTAGGATGATTTCTAGTCGAGCTATAAGTATAGCGAAGTCCCCCTGGGGATACTCAATTATTAGAACTTCACGACTCACTGTCTCTTTTTCATTCTCTTTATATTTAGTCCCAGTGTATCTAGCGTCCATTTCTAATCCTAGACTTTGGGCATAAAGCGCTAGACTTGCGATTTAGTAAGAGAACGGCGACGCGCGAGACGGAAAGAAACTGGACTCTAACCGGAAGCCCACCGACAGGATGATACCACACGTGGTAAGTATAAACGTACCGATAAGTCTAAATCCCTCTACCGGTAGTACGTTAAGCTCTAGATCGAGTGAGCGACCTCGTAACATTTTCCTATTTCCGTGTTTGTTGATTTCTTAGGTTTCTAGTTGAAAGTGAAAGAGTATCTGATGGCTATAAGCTAGAAAGGGAAGCCCGGTGCCTGAAATTTATTCGGCGGTATATGCATACCACTAAAGGGCGTTTCGACCCAGATGGAAGGCCTACAGTGATCACTACTTCGGTATGCGCCGAGAGATTTTTAGGCGGCTTTAAGACAGGAAATTCTCAAATAATACAAATATTAGAGTTTTCCTCCCTCGCCGCCTTCCGGTAGAATCGAGTCTTAACTCTAGATCCTTATTGTTACGGACATGCTAGTCACTAATCAAAATCAGTGGTGGCCCACAACTACACATTACACTACCTTATAGAAGCCGAGATCCGGATCCAGGAAAGAGCTCGGGGCGATGAATCTCGGCGTACTTCCTATCGACATCGGCGATAAACCCCAATTTCCGGATCAGGCTGACAGCAGGATCCATGGTCACAGTCGATGTTGGCTTCTCGGCATTTTCTTGCTGAAGTCGACCTAACACAATATGTCTTGGCAACGGTCTAGGAGAGTCAATAAATGCAGCGTGTTGTTGACCAAGATGTCTAGTTGAAACCTCGTCAAAGAAACTTTAATAATTGATTTGCGTCGACTGCTAATGGCAATTTTATTGTAATCTTGTAATGGCCAGCTTTTAAGCAGTGTTCCTCCTAAAGCCCGGTCTAGGGTCGACTCACTGAGTGCCAAGGAATTTGCATTTCAGTCTACAGGGGTTATAAAGTCTAAGGCGGGGAAAGTTGAGAAGAATATGCAAGATGCTTACTATACGTCATCAGCCCCCCACATTTGTGTTTTTGCGCTCTGTCGACACAATGTTTTCAGCCACTAATGAAACATAAAGTGAGTAAGCAGGCCACATGGAAGGCCCACCAGGACGGACAAGGGCGAAGAGATCATTTACAAAGCGTGTCGGGACTTTTGCCGTTCATAATACCATTGAAAATGGCTAATAGGATTAGTACATCCTATGGGGACAGGATTGCCCTTTCAGTGGGCTGCATACCGGAGCCGTTGAAGTGCGAAGAAAACTGGGCTGGTCTCACTGACCCGATGCGTCGGCGAAAATTGCAGAATCGATTGAACCAGAGAATCTATCGTATGCTTTATCTTATTGATAAGCGTGGCATTGGGCTGATCTCGGACTGGAGTTCTAGGTCGACGAAGACGAGCAAAACCTCCTGCAGACACTCCTGAATCAAACATAGTTCCCACCGCATCGGAGCGATCACGGAGCCCTACAGCCACGGAAAATCAATGTGAAGACGATGAGCAGGGACTCATGAACGCGCCCGCAAGCAGCGAGAGAAGAGAAACAGATATCTTTCCATCTGAATTGAGTATTCGAAAGCCAAGATCAATACACGAAATGAATCGGGCGGAGATCTTACAGATCATGGCGCAATACGAGGCTTCGGCGCGTAAAGACTACTCACTGGGTTCTCCAAGAGTCGATCAACTCTTGACTCTGATCCAGTTCAATGTGTTTCGAGCGCTTGTGGAGAACACCTCTGTGCTAAGATTCACTATGGACTGGCTAGATGAAGAAACCATTTCCCCGTGGTATGCTGGTGTATCTGAAACTCGAATCAGTTTCTGCCCAGCGAGTCTCCGTCCTACTTCGTTGCAAGAGGAGATTGCCCACCACCCGTGGATAGACCTTTTCCCAATTCCTCAAATGAGGGACAATCTATTACAGAGATATGGCGACTTCGATGAAACTGATCTTTGCAATGACCTTGTTGATTTCTATGATGTTTCAAACGATGAGACTGGTTTGATTGTGTGGAGAAAACCATGGCATCCGTCAGGATGGGAGGTTAGTGAGGCTTTCTTGCGTAAATGGAACTGGGTTGTCAAGGGATGCGATGACCTTGCCAAATCCACCAACTATTGGCGTGGAATACGCGGAGAAGAACCTTTGGTGTTCGATATTTGATCCTATGTCTGCTCTCCTGCTTCGCCCGTGCAATCCGCTTCTCTGAATTTACCCTTTACGGGATCTCTGCGTTGGTTTTTTCCTTTTTTTTCTGGGAGGTTTGGTTTCCCGATGGTGCAGGTGCAGCGTTTTTTGCAACTCAACTATCTTATATAAAAATTCCCGGATCGATGACTTTCTTGGTCTTGTGATTGAACCTGGTGTTCTGGAAGTCACGGACTAATTGATATTGAAGCGATTGATCGTACAGTCCGATGCTAGGATTGCAGCGTAACCTCAAGAGTGGGCTAAAAAATTGCAGCATGTGGTGGGGCCGAGTCCATTGGCACCCAAGCGTCGCCATTGGCCTATCCAGTCCTATTTCACTCTGCATTCTCGGGGCCAGGACACTGCTACCAGCCAATGGTGATAGTACCGCAGCCTTTCCCCCCTCTTTCGGCTGATACTTCGTGATGCTAGGAACGGCCTGTGAATGGCCTGGCTATGATATCCAGACCCAAGAAGATCAAAAAATATATAAAGCGCTATGAAGAGACTAAATAGTCTGCATGATTCTATAGCATTAGGCAATTTTATATTAATTTATGGTGGCCCGCCAGCGGATTCGGGAACCTCTAATTCTGAAATAGACAGACTCAGGCTAACGGTCACTTAGAACCAGTACCTTTTCACGTTCAACTGCGACGATCAACCTGGCTTCGCAGCCGTTGCGACAGTGACAGTATCGCTCCCTCGTTACCGGCAGATGAGTAACGCACATTGACATGGGCTAGATTCAGGAGTCGAATGATGGATGGTTTGACATGTTCGCTTTCTCCTATAATGTGGCAAGTGCACCCCTTTGGAGACCTCTCATCGGCTGCTGCAGTGCTCCTTACAGCACCTCCAAAATGTTGTTGCTCCTCTGAAAATGTCACTCGGTTATCCATGCAGTACTAGGGAACTTTCTTCATGGTTCATTGTGCATTTTATCTCGCCTGGTACCCCCGTTCAGCAGAAAGTGAGTGTTCACTCGTGAAGAGCCTGACGATCTTGAGCGATGCGAACGCCCCCTATCAAAAAATGATTCCCCAGCTGTCGCAAATAACGATGTTCTGGGACTAATCCAAGAGGATCAAGCTGTCTTGCCTGGCGAAATAGCAGATCTAGTTCCCTACGAGCCTCGTTTCGATGAAATATTGGGCCAAGGCTCGACCATCGCAAGAATGAAACCGGGGATCGTTGTCAAATGCCCGAGATATTCGTGGTGGCATTCCGAGGCAGCAGAAACCCACCCCTTTGTGAAGGACATTAAACGCAATTTCGAGGTTGAAGAACGGCTTTTGGATATCTTAGGTGCACACCCTAGAATAATACGGTATGTCAACCCAAAGCCAGGTGTTTCGATGTGTTAATTTTTATTCTACTGTAGCTATATTGGTATCTCGGACGAGCCTCGAGGATTGCTCTTCGGAGAAGCTAGCGATGGTAATCTGAAAGCTTACATTAACCAACATAATGTTACTATCAATCTATCTCTTCGATTGAAGTGGTGTTGCCAGGCAGCGGAAGCCGTTCAACATATCCACAAAAAGGGAGTTATTCATTCAGACCTGCGACCAGAAAATTTCTTATTGCACTCCGACTCCAAAAGCAAACTCGATCTTCTACTGTGTGATTTTGGAGGATCGACAAGTTGTGACATCGATGGTGGACATCTTCCCGACTCACGCTTTTTTAATCCATGCAAGCCATGGGTGTCAACAGAGGCTGTGGACATATTCAGTCTCGGGTCGGTTTTTTACACGATAATGACCGGCCATTGGCCTTACAGGTCTCCTAGGCCATTCAAATCCGTGGCAGAGAAGAACGACTACGAAGAACTGGTGGACACTCTTTTTGCATCTCAAAAATATCCTCCGGTTGATAATATACCCGGTGGTACTGTGATACAAGGTTGTTGGACAGAACGATATGGTGATGTAGAGGCACTTATTCGAGATCAAAGTCTGTCTTTCCATGGGATAGGAGCTCTTCGGTATGGTCATGGCTTGGCTTAAAAAGTAATCTTGCAAACGAATGAATTCATGTTGCTATCCTCTCATATCGTTCTGCAAGTCCAGCACAAAAGCATGATTCCGAATCGCAGCCTTCAGCTAGCAAAACAATATGGTCAAATACCCCTGTCTCAAGGTGCACACGGGGTGTCGGCAGTGGCTGATTTGATCCTCTTCCCATCTTCTAGATCGGATCTCACGGCTTCACATCACGATATACACAAGGCTCGCCGTCAGCTATCCAGGACTGGTACTACCGGCTGGATCTATATACCTATCTTTTATACATGGCGTATTTTACGAGGAGGGCTTAATGTACCGTCTACAGCTTCACTCAATAACTCGTGCATTGTACCTTCATTTATATACCGCATGCAGGGACATTGTTACTTTTCCCTGAATGTAAGGGGGCCTTCATCCTGTACCATTACAGCGCGCATCTTCTTCGATTTATCAGTCATTCCATCCACGCTGCGCACAGATGCGATCTCATTCTCCGGTGTAGTATGGAGATGGCTTGATAATAACGGAAGCACCGTACACTTCCACAGCACGGCCTTGCGGTGTTTGCTTCCTATTGCAGTTCCCAGAAGCAGCGCGATTGATCCCAGAGTAACAATGACCGGAAGAATGATCCACGGCCATCGGACATGAATGAATGTCTCGACTCGAAATGCCTTCCCCGGAATCTTGTTACCATGGGGATTAGCGCGCAGGGCATCAGTGACGCTGGTGGACATTGAATCGAGTAATTGACTGAGGTTACCTTTGCGCAGAATCGTTGCCAGATTCAACACATCTGATGTTGATACGTTCCCACTGAAAACAGCTGTACTATTGAAAATGCTCATCATTGTAGGTTCGAAACTGCTGAACGTCTGATGATCGATGTTGTAGGACGGGTTTTTTGATAGGGTTGCCGAGCCGTTTGGGGGTGCAAAGTGAACGGGATCTGGTCGGGAATAAAAGGGACTTTCCTCAGGGGCATCTGTAGTAATGAGCTGCTGTGTATCAACAACATGCATTGGACGGCTGTTTCGGGTGCCAGGCAGGTAGGAGCTCGCTGAGTATCGTCGTTCGCAAAAGTATACAGCACATTCTGTTACCAATGGCTTCGCTGGGGGAGCTGTCGCGTTGGATAGAGTGTAGATAACCGGGTTGGTATAGTCTACCTCAATGAGGGAGACAATTGGGGTCTGAATGTCGAAAGTTGGGTCGCTTTCCCTTGGACGGGAACTCCAATGGAACATATGAAACGTGACATTGTTGTCGTGCCCGTATTCCATTGACTTAAAACCATCAAAATCGAAAGAGAAGTTATTCGGGGATTGGTAGCTGCAATTCATGGGGGTTTCCCTGAAGGCCGGGTGGGCATCATCCCAAAAGGCTGAATATTCTGGCACCTGACACTTTTGATTTGTTCGAGATGTGACATCCTCGCATTTGCTACACATCCCCAGTGCAACAAACTCTGGGAATTCGCAAGAGCTCGCATTGCATTGAGGCTCAAGAGGACTATGTGTCTGCAAGAGTCCACTCATTATTGGAGTCAAAAGCGTCGGCTGGAGCTCAAGAAATACGTCACTTGCCTCCGAATCCCCTATGGGGTACCATTGCTGTGAGGTTTGGGCAAATGCAGTGGCATTCAGTGCAGCAACGGTTCGTGAAGGGAACGTCAAAATTTGCTGTGCAAATGGATCCACTCCAAGAGCCAGAACCGTAAGAGATGCCCCAACATAAGTCAGGCTTCCTGTTTTCGACCCAAATATTCCCCTCAGTAAAACTTCCAAGGATCCCCAGGGTCCCCGGCTTGCCTGGTCAATAACCTGCATATTATATAGTGGAGCTGGATTTTGAAATAGGTTCCATTTCAGCTGGCCGAGACATGAGGACACCGAGACCAGCACTGCGGCTTTGGTAATGGTGACGATGATTGACACGACAGTATTAGGGGACGCGGTATATTGCCAGGTCGCGTATGGGGTGTTGTTTATTTTGACAAGAAAGGCAACCAAAAGAACAAGGCCCACGACGGCTAGGGTAACAGATCCGATTTCCCATGCCCAGGAGCCGCTCCAATCGAACCCAGGTCGCTTTGTTTCAGTATCTGTTTGCGGGTCCTGTGTATGCACAGTCATACCGTCTATTTCTGAGACGCCCATTTCAGTCTCGCTGGCATGCCTATGAACAGACATACGAGGACTGGCCAGGTATTCAAACCTTTCGAACTCGAGATCAGATTCGCTCTGGCCGTCGTGTAAAGCCGGATATGGCGGATGAGTTGCCATTGTGATATCACTTGGTCCACCGAAGTAGTCTCCAGTATATGGGTGTTGAGTAGGCTCTTTTAGGTGATGGAGGGCAAGTGGGGAGGAAAAGGGGTCTTGTCATTGTGGCTATGGGCGGCTGAGCCTCAACAAATAGTGGTTATTTTGATCTGGAATAATATAAAATACCCCATGTTACAACCAACTCTGCGGTGCTGACATTCTCAGCCTATCATTTATGCGCTAGTCAATCCGTCGTAACAAGGCAGCAAAGCTACCGAGCTGCTTGGACCTGGTGACTAGATAGCTAAACTATGCATCAAGTAGCCAGTTCGACCAACTCTCCAGTCTCGCTTCTATCTACCGTATCGTAGGTAGCCCCTCTCCTTGCAAGTAGAGTATATCCAGCACAATCCAGTGTTATACTTGGTAATAATTTTTACTTACTGTAAGGTTCGGGAAACGGGAAGGGTCCGCGGGGAATCGACCAATCGGGGCCTAGCGTGCGAAACTCGAATGGATTCGCCGCGACCGCCGACTGACTCATCATCCTATACAGATTGGGAGAGAAAACTTCACCAGACGACAGGCTGCTGCTGCTGATGACCAGGTTACAATGATTACTGGACCCTCCCCTACGGAGGACATTGCCGCCGTCGAAGCGCAACCCATGGGTAAATTCCCCTGCGTTCCTGAGAAATGGCTCTCCAGAATCGCGAACTGGGGCGTTGAACTGCGGGGCGTTGCTCCTGTTCCTATTAAGGAGCGGACTAATACCCTGTTTATTAACATATTCTTTGTTTGGTTACGCTCAGCATGAATCTACTGCTATAGGTCTGTTACTCCCTGTTATTAAGCTCTGCTAACCAGCCCCAGCATCATCACTAGCATGGTGGGTACGTTATAGGGATGAGTCTGTGCAATGCGTCCTTGATTATCCTTTTTTTTAATATACTGTGCACTATCCCTCCAGCGTACTTTAGTACCTTCGGCTCGCGGACGCGGTTATATTAGATGCTTCATGCGCGATTTACCTTTACGTATATCTCCTCCGAGTCGAGATGAACTTTACTAACGAACCTGTAGGTACTATCTGGTGTCTATCATCGTTGCACTGAATCTGTGCACATTGCCGGCTTCGGTGTCGTGTCCTGCGTACTAGGCGGGTCAACCCTTGCAGCTGTCTCTGACAGCAGCATTAACAACACCACCAGCATTATTATTATCAACATCTGCGGGATGGCCGTCTCCTTTGGCGGGTACAAATTCCTGCACCAGTATGAGCGATATTGCTGGCTGTTCGCGCTCGTTCTGAAATGGACATGGAACTCATTTCTTCCGACCGGCCCCGGTAATTCCTAACACCCTGGCCGCCGGCTTCTGATATCCAGAAAGAGTTCGTGATCTTAAATGCCATCACGGGTGAGCTCACGATATATCCTCTTGTCAGTCCTGGAGTTCTAATATCTTCGCCGAAACCTGCTCTGAAGAACGCTGACTGAACGGTAGGATACTAAAGTATGTTACAAAGGCGTATAATTACAGAATTCTCTTCAACACCGAAAGGAGACTCTTTCCCCAGACGCCGAGTACGTGATCGTATATATATTTTGTATATCTCTGATGGGAGCAATGGAAATTCTCAAATCCTTGTCCCTTCCTCTAATCTTCCCATATCTCGTCAATTCCTACCAACACCTTATCCACAAACAGAAGCAACCAGAGACCAGAGGGTGTCATCGTACCAGATTCCCGCGAGCACCGTCGAAGCCATGTGTTGTATGGACCTTACCGGGGGGATAACCACGACCAACCTGTTGCAGGTGAAGCCATTGGGCCACCCCAAAACAGTGCGCAAGCCATGTGGAAAAACGCAGTTTCACGCACCCCACCTGGAACTGCCGGAATCAGCGGTCGGCCGTGTGATTACTGCTTGAGAAATAACAAACCGTGCCGGTTAAAGTTGTCTGGGACCTGCTTTAATTGCGCTGAAAGAAGGAAGAAATGCAGGTATCCCTCAGGGAAGTCAATGCCCACGGCAAGGAATCCTGCCGCTGGATCTGCTAGCACGGCAGCGGAAGAGACACACTCTCACATCGTGCAGTCATTCGCGTACGGCCATGACGAAAACGAAGCACTTATACCTGCTGCTGCCCAAGATCGTCCGCAAGCAAATCCGCATAACCCTGCCGGTCACACGGATGGACACCAAGAGCGTCTGGCTCCTTACTGTAGGTCCTGGACCTTACCTGGCTGACAACGCATCCTAGTTGAGTCCACACTAAAACCACTTATGTTTGAAACGAAGATAATTTGATTTCAAAACATTGTAAAGCTGTGAACTCAGCACTTTGTTTGGTGGATCAAGGTGATCGAACGCTCGAGTATAATACCGCCCCGTTTATCATCTCGCATTGGTATGTACATGCCAGAGATTCGTTCATTCACTCGTCTTGAGGGTGTATCATGCCAGGATCAGTATGGACATGGGTGAGAGACAAACTGTTCCAACCACCATAGTAGTAGCTATACAGCGTACGACTAAGCAATGACCCCTGACTTTGGGAAGATAGGATAAATATCATGCCAGAAATTGCTTTCTCATCCGCTCCTGCCAACCAACTATCGACTCTCAACTTGCGACTGAGCCCCGTCACCATCAAGCAAGAATTAAATTTTAGAATTAGCCCTGTACCTTATAGAAGGCACTTACCGAGGGGTAGCGGCAATGTGTGATTGGTCCACAATTACTCTCGGTGTACTGACGTAGCCCAAGAAGCTTATGTATTGTACGTGTTGGCTGTGTTCGTTACTATATTGACCTCTGATACAGACGCGCTCGAAATCAGTTTCACCTCTTTACTCTCTTCAATTCTTTCTCGAACTCTGTCTTGCATGACGCCATGCCGTTTATGGTTAGTATACCCCTGACCCACATCCTTGGCAGTATCTCAATACGGTAATAAATAATGGCACAAAATAGCTAATGTATTACGCGTGTATGGGCTATGCCCTGTCTAGAACTACTCACTTGTAAACAAACCAAACAGAATAGTTGGCGCCACCTCTCGTTTCCCCTTCAGCCAAACACGTTCACTCCACCAAAACAGTGGGCGGGCGAAGACATACGTAGAGACCTTACTGATAGTATGATTTATTTTTACAACCGATTTATTCGCTCTACAATATGCTGGGGTTTTGGGTCACACCCTCTGTTGAACCCTGGAGGACCAAAAGTGCTGAAGTTTGATTTGCTAGGAAATTGAGGACGATGATTAACCACTCCTATCCCAACGGTGATGAATCTCAAGCTCAGGACCCCGATCCGTTTGTTGGTGGTGGAAGCCCTCTGAGGGGTTGACCGAAGAGCGTTATTGGGGGACCGCGAGAAAATTATTTCTCCAACATTACTCCTGCTCACCTTTCTGCTCAGTGACCGGAACCGGACGAAATGGTTTTTGTAAGTTGGGGGATACTGGGGTATTGGGAAAATACATGTGACACTGGGATTTGTAGCGCTGGGAGCTTGGTCATTTTTAGAAGATACATCTGAAAAGTGTGGGCCCTTAGTTTCTGCCAGGGGAAACAGACAGCGCCCATAGAGAGGTGGGTTCTAGTTGACTGTCCGCCTAGTTTATCCTAGGTGGTTGGCTACTGGCTGACTCTACGCAAACCAATATATGTATAAGCTCCAAAACTCCGAAGCTTAATTGCGTCCCTTCGGTAATGATGATTCCATAGACCTAAATTTTAGATATATATACCTGCGCAAGAGGATTCAGGCGGAATCGCATGGGCTATTTATAACGAGACCTAAAACAGTGTAGACATTTGAGGCAATATAAACCTTAATCAACGAGCAATGATGGGGCTCCTTTCTGTGAGCGCGAGAAATATGACGTGACCTGATGAACAGCCAATCGCCAAATTGGTTGCTGACATAGCGAATCGAGAAGAACCTCGCGGTCTATACTCAGCGGGCAACCACAGGAGGTTGAGTCCATTGTAGGTTATCCAGGAGGAGTCATGATTCAAGCCATATCCACATTGCTCGGGCGATGGAATCGAGTGATGAAGCATAGGTCCGACAGAAGCAATTGAACCTATATCAAATGTACCCATACTAGTGTGCGGGTGGTTCAAATCAAATTTATCGAATTGAAGGAAGCCAGGGGAGGTGATATGAAGAGTTGACACGCTCTCGCCGGTGGCCGGATCCCAGATCCTGACTTTCTTATCATTTGACGCTGATGTGAGTTGGCTTCTATCTGGCGACCAAGCAATCGAGGAACCGCCTCACTATGCCCCTCGAGAGTGGACACACACTGGCCGGTGGCCGGATCCCAGATCCTGACTGTCTTATCATCTGACGCTGATGCGAGTCGGGTTCCATCTGGCGACTAGGTAATCAAGCTGACCTGATCACTATGCCCCTCGAGAGAGTGTAGACAGAGGCTCTACTTTTCCTCAACCACTAGATCATTTAAAACCTAATCTGGTCTCTCCTTCTGAAAGGATACTCTGGTGATGCTCTCTATTGGGCTGAAGATAAGAGGTGAATAATATACTTGTAGAGGGCTCTTTCAATTGCTCTTCTAAAATATCGAACGAACCTAGAGGCATCTTGAGCCCGACGAAATAGGGCTTACGACTCCGCTTTCTCCTATTGAAGTAGGTTATTATTAGAAGTTGCTTTATATAAATAATTATATACCTGAATTAATATTATAAGCCTATGTATCGCTTGGATACTATTTGAAACACTTCTTAATATGCTAAGGGCCTCGAGCTAGTGAAGGTATCTATACTAGAGAAACGAATCTACACGGCCTCCTATATTAAGGCTTAGCTTAAGAATTAGAATTCTATTACGCTCACTGCCTTGAAGATGGTCTACCTAGTAGACATATACGTATTCTGCCGCTTTAAGTGGATTTAGGCTGGGTTTCTTGATATTTTAATCGGGAATCTAGGCAACTTAATATTAAAGATATCACGTCGAAGTGCTTTAAATATCACTTCGAGAGATCGTAAGAAAATCATATAGTGCTCGGCTCCTTTACCCCGAGGGAGTATCTTATCTAGGGCTTCCTAGAGTAGAAAGTCCTTTACGGACTGATGGATAAATGTAATAGTATCTTCCGTAACCTTAGGAAAGAGCTACAACCCGCAATAACCTCTAAGAGGAATCCTGGTTATTAAAGTCAATATCGGGTAATTCAATAAGCGAAGATAGCTCGCTTAGTGTGATAGGCCGATACACCGTTGATATAATAGCTAGTATTTGCTTGTAGAGTTCTACATCTTCCGATCTGTAAAGCTGATTGATCATTCGACTATATAGAGCATCTAGTCTAGGAGGAAACTCTGCTAGCTTCTTGACCGCGTGCCTCGATAGTGTTGTATCAAGATTTTGATAGACTAAGGCTACCTAAAGGAAGGTGCCTTGCGAATTTAAAGACAAGTGACGGTAGATTGTATTACGGGCCTTCTCTTTATATCTTTAACCGTTGCTAAAGCGTCAACCTTATGTTAAATAAATTTATCTACAGCTTCGGACACAGATGCATCGTTTAGCTCTAATGAAATCGGAGCTATATAGCTTGTAATATCAAGACGCTTAATGATCTCAGGCCAGTTACGGCTAGAGACGATCCACTTGATTTGAGAGTGAACTGATGAGAGTGAACTGATGTCTCCTGCACAATTAAGTCTAGAAGGGAACGAAGACCGTTTGTGCACTCATCTAATGCATCAATGATAAGGTACTCTTTAAAGAAGGGTCTTTAAGAATATCAGTGAAGATGGTCGAGAGTGCATCCCATGCATTTCTGTCTTCAAACAGGACTTTCCCCGTTTGGTCATACGGAGCCCGCACACACCGGAAGGGAGGGAAGACGATGCATCTTATAGGCGCTTAACTGGACTAGGCGAAAAGAGAGGGGACTTAGATTTGGATGAAGGGGCACCATTTTCGGCGTCGTTTTAGTCGCCAGTGGAAACGAGGGAACAACTGTGTAAGTCGAGCGTCAACATCAGGACCGCAGAATGACTAACAGTGCTAGGCGGGTGCAGAATAGTGGTGTTATAGCGTAGTGGGCGGTCAGGGGGCGGCTGGACGTCCAAAGTTACGGGTGGAAAGGCGGCCGTTTCTGGCGCCAAAAGCGGTCATTTTCGGCGTCACTTTCACAGGTCCTCATATTCTAGTTGTAAATATTGTCCTAAAGTTAAATGGTTATTGACCAGGCTTCCAGAAGTGGAAGGGATGTCCTCTCCAATTTGATCTCAGCGATCACTCCCCCGTCTCCCAGCAAAGGGTAGATGCGATGTAGGATATCCTAATATGGACTAATGGGCCTTAAGGTGGGGCTCTGGGAAACAGGGAATGCCACGAAAATGTACCTTAAAAGGCCACGACGTTTTGTGGCATTTCCAGACTCATCCCGAGTTACTCCGTACATATCTCGGCAATTTCACAAATTTTCAGTGGAGTCCAATATAAAGCAACCTGACTGGCCTAGATATCGGCCCGAACGCCATTTTTACGGCTTCTCGGAGGCTTGGATTTGGATGCCTTGGCAGATATACGTTTCTTTTCTTCTTTTGTGTGTATTTATTATAGATTGAATAGGGCTATGGGTAAATGAGTAATGAGTCAATAGTGTCCTATCTAAGTCACTGTTCTATTCATGAAAATTCCAATTTCTCCGCAATAATTTAATCTCCCCCATTTGATTCGCCAAGAGCATTGCTTAGTATGTATGTAGTAGGGCCATCAAATATAGTACAGATGAAACACTCTTGAACTACCCACATCGTACATGCATTCAGAAATATATTTTGGCCAATGACAATTGTATTATATGCTGCCATGGATTAAATATCCACTGATTCTCAAGATACTGAAATTGGGGCCCCAATCACCATTGCGTTGGTTTCATGGATTTTCTGTTCTTCCTTTGACTCCTCGACAGCCAGCAGCAAACGCGTGGAGCGGATGTGAAGTTCTATCAAGTCAACACGGGATGCTCTCCACCGCAGCAGCGACTCACCTTGCAAAGTAACCTCATACCCAACCCAAGAGTTATCATTCCAATCATCCTGATGAATGAGCACTGGAAGAGACGGATCCCATGCCTTCGGCCGCACGCGCATTTTCAACCCAACGGTCTTGCTCATATCTACCCACAGTATGTCGTCATCGGAAGACCGAGATTTTTCAGAGTCCTCTTCCCAGTCAGTCTGAGTAGTCTTCTTCATCCTCCCACTTTGGTCACGCAACCACTCCCTCCATAACCGAATAAATCCATCCTCAATAGTTGATGCACTCAATAGCAACGACGTTCCCGGCTTGACTTGCACTAGACTGGCCACCACACATAACTGTGAGAAATCCTCATATCCATCTAAAGTAACCTCACGTATCACTGCATCCTCTCCCTTGCCTTTTCGGTCCCCATTCATGTCAGCCCGTATGAACCCCACCACTTCCGACAACAGAAGCATCCTACCTGGGGAGAAACCGAACTTGGAGTCATCTGTGCCTCGTTCTTCTTCGTCGCTGCTTACCTCTGGGCGGAAGCGCGAATATAGTCCTGTCACCCTACTCAGGTGGTGGGTGGCATCGATATTCTCGTATAACAGACCCGTTTCATCATGACGCTCGCTCAGTCCATCTGTACCGAGGTATTTGCAGAAGACGTGTGGCTCGGTGAGCTTTGAGCTAGGATGGAAGCATTCCAGCAGTAGTTTGTATTCCTTGAGTGGCATGCTAAGGAGCAGGCGGTAGTGGAGGATCCTTGAGACCAGGGCGTGAAATCGGTGGTCGACTGATGTGAGTGGGAGAAGTGCCCGGGTTGAGAAGTCGGATAGAATATGAATGAATATCTAGAGATATCTTAGATCTATTGCCCGGGGTATACCCTGTATACATACTTCGTTAGGTAGCGAGTTCAAGGTCATCGCGGGGTTGGCGGTGTTCATAGTGGTTGATTACTGTGTGTTAATTGAGACACAACCTGGAAGAAAGAGAGATCATTGATGCTAGTTAGTATGCTAAAGGTTAATAGTCAATACGACAGATGGATAACAAGGTGTGAGTTACACTGCTGTTGATCTCACAACAGATTGTACGACGATAAGCGATAAGTGACGTCATATCACGGGAGGCGGGCATAAATTTCCTTTTTCGGTTTTTTTGGTGTGCCAGTCCACCGCCAGTCCACTCCTATTGCACTGCCAGTCCACCTCACCACCTATGTGGGACAACAACCGGGGAAACGTGGTTTTTATCGGTTAGTTGCGGCGTTCAATTGCCTGTTTCGTCTGAACCAAGTCAACAGTCCCCACAACCATACCTGTTTCCCCGGAAAACTGCGGGATCCCGATTCCTGGACGGCTCACCGAGAGAAAGACGGAGATGCCAAGACGTTGTATGCCAATTTATATTGTTTCTACAACTTCGCGATGCTATATTAGTTAGGCGAGAACCGCCTGTAGCCTCTATATATAACCCTTTGGCCTCGCTAAACAGCTGTAACCTGACACATTCCTACTCCGGAGACCCCGCCTCCCCACCAGAAGTTGAACCCCGACCCTTTTCAACTATTTTCGCGTATTTCGCTTTTCTTTTCCTTTCCCTTCTCTCCTCTCCAAGCTATCATCGCGACTATTCCAATCTATAGCCATGGAAAACGTACTTGACGACATCTCCCACCGGAGATACAACCCCCTCCGTGGCTCCTCCATCTTGGTTTCTCCCCACCGAACCAAGCGTCCCTGGCAGTGAGTATTGTTGATTGTTGACGTAAGACGATGCTGCGCAACAAACCAGCTAATCACACGGCAATCTAGAGGAGCACAGGAGAGCCCGTCCAAGACTACCCTGCCTAGCTACGACCCCAAATGCTACCTCTGTCCCGGGAACGAGCGCGCCCAGGGCGATACCAACCCCGATTATGAGAGCACTTTCGTATTTGTGAACGACTACAGCGCCGTGAAGGAAGAACAAGCGGCCTATGAGCCCTCAAACCAGGATGGTACGTCCAACCGCCCAGCGCATCCAAACCACACGTACCAAGCTCACAAACCACAGAACTCGAATCGCGGTTCCTCAAAGCCGAGCCCGTAACCGGCAAGTGCTACGTGCTCACCTTCTCATCCGCGCACAACCTCACTCTCGCCGACCTGACGCCTCGTGAGACTGTGCCCGTGATCGATGCCTGGACAGAGATCTACACAGCACACCTGTCCCCGACCTCGCCGCTAGCGAAGAACGCATCCCCAACAACGCTGCAGCCCACGTCCACCTTGACAAGCGCCACCAAGCCAAAGGAGCAGTACCGGTATATGCAGATCTTCGAGAACAAGGGCGCGGCCATGGGATGCTCGAACCCGCACCCGCACGGGCAGGTGTGGACAACCAGCTCAATGCCGGAAGAGCCCGCTGCCGAGATGGATCAGCTGATCAAGTACCGCCAACAACACGGCGGTAGCCACCTGCTGGAGGACTATGCGGCGCTGGAGAGCCGCAAGCAGGAGCGCGTTGTGTTTGAGAACGATGCGTTCCTGGTTGTCTGTCCGTGGTGGGCTACCTGGCCGTTCGAGACGATGATTATTAGCCGCACGCACAAGCGCGCACTAGTGGATTTGTCCGAGGCCGATAAGATACTGCTTGCTGAGGCAATCGCGGAGATCACCCGTCGCTACGATAATCTCTTCGAGACGCATTTCCCTTACAGTATGGGTATTCACCAGGCTCCGCTTGATGGTACCGAGGAGGAGATTGAAGCATCCTACCTGCACTTGCACTTCTATCCGCCTCTGCTGCGAAGCGCTACCGTGCGCAAGTTCTTGGTTGGCTACGAGCTTATGGCAGAGCCTCAACGTGATATCACCCCTGAGCAAGCTGCTGCTAAGCTGCGGGCTTGCGGTGGTGAGTTGTACAGGAAGAAGATAGATTCATGAAGTGTCTCGGAGTAAAAAGAAAGAACAAAAAAAAAGAAAAAAAGAAAAGTCATGAAGTCTGGCGGGGTGATACCAGAGTTGAAGATATTTCATCCTATATGCAATATATATTATTCCCCCCGCAAAGGCCTTTGTGCCGAATGTAAGTTGTACATAGCTGTGGTCTAACATGCAACGCCCAGTTCCTCCGTAGCCATCGGCTCCATGTGTTGCATTGCGTCGAACAATCCCGTGAAGCCGGATGACGCCCTCCCCCAAAATCAGGGACTTAACCCAGGTATGCCCCGCGCTGGGTGAACATCCAGGCCAGCGATCCCGATGCAACAATCAAAGGATTCAAGAACCGGCCCTTAAGCGAGGCATTGCCGAAGATGAGTTCGCCAATAAAGTGCGACAGCGCAATGCCGTACGTCCACATGCCCAGGTCATACGCGACAGAGTTCGTGATATTGTAAGCAGCGGTCATGCGAATGACTGCAGAGAGGAAGGTCCAGGTTCCGAAGACGCGGCCGGAGAGCGGAGTCGCGGGGACCTTGCCATTACTATAAAGTAGGGAGGTGTATTTCGGGGAGGTGTAGGCTTGCAGGCTGTTAAGAGCGGAGACGACCGAAACCTATATAGAGAGGTTGGCGGTCAGCTTTGAGAATGGAGGCATTGGTAGCTAGGGGTTCGGAGTGGTAGTGGTAATGGGATTGTGGACAAGGGCAGAACTAACGAAGAAAAGCCATTTGGGCAGGAAGCCCTCGGACTGGGGGAGATAGGCGAAGTATTGGTCCATCTTTGAGCGAGTGTCTACTGGTTTGGTTTGGTCCGAAGGGAGTTGGTTGTCTTTGTTGCGACTTGGGAAAAAGCCGAGGATGTTTGGGTGGTCTTGGCGTTGATCTTCCCCTAACAAGCCTCACATTTGGTTTGCTCAACTTTTTTTTCTCTTCTGTCAACTTCCTATTATTCACGTCTTTTTGCTCAATATGGATCTCTCGAAGCATATTGAGTGTCTCTCGCGATGGCCAGCCCATATTGCCCCGGGTTTGCCTACTTATGGAGCGCTGCTGCTCCTGGCGACTGGTGGGTTGGTTATTGCTCGCAAGGTCTGGACGTTCGTGCGGGTGCTTCTCAGTCTGTTCGTGCTTCCGGGTAAACCGGTATGAAATTCGATATTCAGGCCGACAAATTAAGGGGATGAAGCTGACTAGAATCATTGAATAGCTTCGCTCGTTCGGTCCCCCTGGTAGCTGGGCCGTGGTGACGGGCGCCTCAGACGGCCTGGGCAAGGAATTCGCCCTGCAATTGGCGAAGTCGAAATTCAACATCGTGCTCGTATCCCGAACAGCGTCGAAGCTGGCAAGCCTGTCAGAGGATATCAGCAAGCAGTTCCCGCAGGTGCAGACCAAGACACTCGCAATGGATTTCTCATGCAACGCCGACGCCGACTACCAGGCGTTGGGCGAACTGGTCTCTGATCTGGACGTGTCCGTGCTAGTCAACAACGTCGGTCTGAGCCACTCGATCCCCGTTCCATTCGCGCAAACCCCCGCTGCAGAGATGGCCGACATCGTGACTATCAACTGCACCGGCACGCTGCGCGTCACTCAGCTTGTTGTTCCAGGCATGATGCAGCGGCGCCGCGGGCTGATTCTGACCATGGGCTCTTTCGGTGGTCTCCTACCTACCCCATTCCTGGCCACTTACTCCGGCAGCAAGGCTTTCCTTCAACACTGGTCTACTGCTCTTGGCGGCGAGTTGGCACCCTACGGTATTGATGTGGAACTTGTCCAGGCGTACCTGATTACCTCTGCCATGTCCAAGATCCGTCGTGCCTCGGCTGCTATCCCTACGCCTCGCGCTTTCGTTCGCTCCGTTCTGTCGAAGATTGGTCGCAGTGGTGGCTCGCCTACCTATGCCTACAGCTCGTCACCCTACTGGAGTCATGGCATCATGGCTTGGTTCTTGACTTCTGTTTCTGGGACTATGGGTAAGTTTGTTCTTGGGCAGAACAAGTCTATGCACGAGAGCATTCGGAAGCGCGCTCTCCGGAAAGCTGAGCGTGAGAATGCGAAGAAGAGCACTTGATTTGCTCAGTTCGCTCGATTTTCTGTTGCTGTGGAGCAGAGGGAGCATAGTACGAGGGTTATGTTTTTCTCGAGTGTGATTGATATATTATTCGAAACGCATGATAGGTTCGACCAAGTGTATAAGCAGAAAATGACAATCATCTCCCTAATGGGAACATCATTGATGTCTAAAGATCATCGTGTTACCAAGAAGAAAAGCAATAAGAGATACTGGACTCCGTCACCAATCTTTGCCATCTCGTATACCTCCCGGGCTGACCTCGGTAGACCTCTTATCGATAAGCTATCATCACCCCACTTTTTCTCACCTGGGATCTAATGTATTATCCATAACGACCTAGAAACTGCACATGCTACAAATTGAACCGACAAAGAATGTCTCAATCGACCCATCCCGTCAGTGGGGTCGATGAGGCCTCATACAAAAATCCCACGGACCGCATTCACCTCCTCCTTGCCGCAACTGGCTCAGTCGCGACTATCAAAATAGCCAATATTATCAGCGCCCTCTCCCCTCATACCCACAAGCTCTCGATAAGAGTAATCCTCACCACCAAAGCCAAACAATTCCTAGCCGGTCAGTCCGCCGAGCAGCCCACTGTCTCGTCCCTCATTTCCCTCCCTGGCGTGGAAGCCGTCTATGACGATGACGCGGAGTGGGGGCCAGAGCCCTGGTGCCGCGGTGTTGATATCTTGCACATCTCTCTCCGACGCTGGGCGGATATCCTTGTCATTGCTCCTCTTTCCGCAAACACCCTAGCCAAGCTCGCCAATGGACTTAGCGATAACCTGCTGACGTCCGTATGCCGGGCGTGGGATACAGATGGTCAGGTTGACGGGAAACGAAAACGGATTGTAGTTGCGCCGGCCATGAATACAGCTATGTGGCGACACCCAGTGACGGCCCAGCATATCCGATTGCTAGATGTGGAATGGGGTGTCAGCAAGGGAGAGGAGACAGGCTGGTTCGAGGTTCTGCAACCGCAGTCGTCGAAGGTGTTAGCTTGCGGGGACGTAGGGAGTGGAGCTATGTTGGAATGGACCGAGATAGTTAAGGTCATTGAAGATAGGTTGGGGTTGTGACTAGACTTCTTCTCGGAGTAGTTAGGATCTGTCCTTGCCCATTCCTCCTGGGTTCCAATTTACCACATCTGCTCTAGGCTACGTGTTCCCATTTTGTGGTGACGTTTGGGTCCTTTATGGTATATTTTACCATGTTTTTACCATGTATTCTCTTCCGCCATTTTCTATATTTTCTTTCATTTTCTAACAGAACAAAGGGAAACGAGTCGCTGCTGTGGAGCAAGACCCAAAAGGACGAATACACAAGCACACAGTTGCCTATGGGAATGGAGATGATTTGTTAAAGAATCAGGGATAAGGATAAGAAAAAATAAATCAAATTGGTTCGATCAATAACAACGCGTTCTATAGATTCGGCCCTTCAGTTGCAAAACAAAGGCCGAGGCAGCCTCAGATATCCAAACAGATATCAACCATGAGCCATGGCCAGGTCCTTGTGTCCAATCTTTTTGCCCAGTACATATGCACTGAAATGTGTCACCCGATCTGAGAGAGATACCTGGACCAAAAGCTCCAAGTAATAGACTTTCCGTCCGGCGATGGTTTGGTGAGGAAACAGGGCAAGGTCAAAGTCACTGAAGTGACATTGAATATAATCTATGCAATGGGCACCTAGATGAATGCTTTCTCAGTAATACTGATCACTCGGGACAATATGCGTAAAACTTTGGAATAGACTTACCGGAGTTCTCCAATCGATGTGGTGCAAATTGGAGATTGGACTCATAAATCTCCACGGGCTTGACAAGAAGATCATGCTCCCAATGAAGCAACTAAATCTCCTGGCATGCCTGAGGGTATCTCTGATCCTTTTTGGAGTTCATCTGTTAGATTATGCAAGGTAGCGCATACTTATATACGACACACCTTGTGTAACACTCAATGGGGGAGCAAATTCACCGGTAGTGCGTTAGGCCCAACCCCCAGTCCTTGCGACCCGCCTGGGTGGGAAAGAGCGAAACGTTGAACCGATGCCAGACCGTAATTTCGCCAGCACTTGTAGGTTTGAATAGAGTGACCCTGAAGACCTTAAGTGCTGCCCCACGAGCGATAGCCTCCCCCCTATGATATATACCTGTTAGACTTCTCCCTGAGCTTGCAGCATCCAAATGGGGGCTTTACTCACGGGCTCTGAGGAACAAGCACGGAAATGTTGCCAATGTGATTCAGGGCTTGTCGTAGTCTTTCCTGTAGATAGGGTGAGGCGCTGAATCCGCCAACCAGGACCACTTTCTATAGGAGATTATAATGTTAGTTTCCCAAGTGACCCATAAGGCAAGGATGGGAGGCGCTCACATTGATGACATGCCGCCCACATTTGTCATTTGCAGCAGTGATCTGAGGCAGAATCAGGCCGAAAATCTTGCTCAGAACGGGCCCGTATAGAGCTCTGACATCTTCGGATTAAAAAACAAAATGTCTTCGTCTTTGGTTGGAAAATGTGCGATCTGCCTCGGGTGCACTCAAGTCGAAATTAAAGTGCCAGCCGTTTTCCCCTTCACCAGTGAACTCTGTTTTGATCGTTTCAAACTTCGTCATGACCAAGCTTCCGGGTCGGATCTGGCTCATGACCCTATCGAATGCCCCTTCAAGCCGATGGGATAGTAGTTGATAGAACCCACTGTCAATAGTCGTTCCACCGCATTTAGCTCCTATTGCCTATTAGTATCCAGGTCATGTTATATGTTTTGTATATCATACCCATAACTGTGGTAATCTGCTCAAGAGAGGCTGTCGGATCAACATCTGTGACATAGTATGTTGCGATATCCTGCTCATGTGAGATTATGAAGAGCCAAAGATATAATCCATGGATGGGGTATCTCACCACTGTGCCACCTGCGCAGTCACAGATTAGGACTCCATCACGTTGCTAAGGATTAAATAAAACACTCCGCAAAGACCACTACAATGCGGTTATTACTGACTTACCTTGAGGTTGGAATTTCTGTCAGAAAGACAGCAAGAGCTGCAGCCTCTGGTTCCGTTATGGTCCACACCTTATGTAGAAAGCTTGTCCCAAAGCCTGCCCTTTGGATTGCTTGACGCATTAGGAACTGTCTATTTCCAGACTAGCGGGCTGGCGTCGTGCACCAGAAATCGATTGGCACCTCACTTAGATCCCCTTCGTAATTGCGAAGTTGCCCCACCTCTCTGGGGATATGCTGCTGGATATGGTGGTAGATCCGAGAAAGGTAGTCTGCCACAGCTTCTCCGGTTTCCTTTTGGCCGGGCAGCTTCAGAATCTCTGAACAAGTGACTCCTTCCAGGAGGTCATCGTCGAATTCTTCACGTTGGGGATTTCTGTCCAATAGTAGCTTCGTCCAGGCATATGATCGCATTTCTGGCTTGACCTCAAAGCCCCAGAGATGTGGACCTCCATCCTGCCTGTATGAAATTATGGACGGGCCGCTGGTCTTATTACGAATACCTGGAGGCCATTGATTGACAAAATGGATGTTTCCGTTACCCATGTGATCACCTGCACGGATGAGGACAAAAGAAATTCCTACTTTCAAGAGGAAATACCGAGATCGTTAGTGAAAGAAATGACTTAGTGATAAAGATAGGCGTTCTTACCTGTGAAGGTGGTACCGTAGTCCACACCCACGACAAGCTTGCACCCATTCCCAGCTTCCATATTGCCTTGGAATCAAGACGTATTGTAGCCTGGAGGATAGATTGGACAAGTCGAATTGGAAAATCGACCTATATACTTAGTGCTATACATTTGATGAACCTCGTAGTGATTTATTCCCGGCCAATTCTAAGGACTTCCAAGGTTATGTTTTAGTCGTCTTTTCAATATGACAGTCATGTTTCATTGCAAGAGTCCACGAAGTTGATGCACAACAGAATCACGTTATTGCAAGATTGAAAGACATATTAGGGTTTCTCCTGATTCTTCACATTTTCAATTCACTTGGAAATATCCTTTGAATGTTCGTAACAATTATTTTAGTTCCAAAAAAAGAAAAAAGAAAAGTACATAGTCTCACACGAAGGTATTCCGTGTCTCTTCCAATTATTCAGTCTCACCCTCAAAATACAGATTTCTTTACCTGTAATATGTTCATAAGACTTTCAATTTCAAAGATGAACAAAGAAATATGCCCAGTCTCAAATGGAGGTATTCTGGTTTATCCTGGTTAGTAGTTTCATCTCACCTCAACGGAGTTTCTTTATCTCTCATTTATTAGCAAATTTGTAGTTCCAAATAAGTTTTAAAGGAGAATAAAGAAATTTGTGAAATTTGTGTAGTCTCTCGGTATTCGAAATTCCAGCTCCCCGAAAATTAACAAAGAAATGTGTGTCGCTATGTCTCGCCAAATAAGACATAAAATGGAACATGGCCATGCTGGCTTTGGAACTTATCCCTCCTCTTTTTCCTATATCCCCCTCCGTCTAGATCACTTCTTCTACCATGAGCACTACTAGATCAAACAAACAGAAATCTCAGGTAATAAGGTTCCCCTTTGCTGTTATACTTTTGGTCTAGCATGCCCTAAAAGGAAGATCCTCCTGCAGAACACCAGCAAAAGAAACCAAAGATGTCTTCTTACACCCCTTCCCCTTACATAACCCAGCAGGATAAAAAGTATCCCGCTTTTTCGCACCGTGAATACCAGGATGAACTTTTCCAGATGACAGAAACGATCGAGGCGGAGATGTTGGGCTGGACCGGGCAGGAAACAAGAGCGAGTTGTGCTACTCGCTCGCATTCACTGCGGATGTCTACTCGTGGGCCATTGAAAGCGCAAAGTCCAATGAGGACGTGGACCGTCTCTCCAAAACCCAGAAGCAGGCCATCATCAGCAGCCTCGCGGGGTACTGCCTGCAAGAGAAATGGGACGTCCTTATGGGACTCCTTCCAGATCCGTTTCATGATACATTTGTTGAGGTATTTCTGGAAATCCTGATCTATAAAGAAATCTTTGGCAAGCTTTTCATGACCCCTTGGTAGTACTTGGACGGGAGGATGTCTCCGACAGACGAAGGAGATGAGACGTTCAGTGCGCGGCTGCAGCATCTGTACGACAGATTCTATGAAAGTATGTATGCAACTTCCCATCGAAAGATATGTTTCATTGATCATGTCTTTTATTGCTATAGCCAACCCACTCATGACGGCACTATGGAGATCCGAAACAAATCGCCTTGCAAACTCGACGAATATAAACCAGGCACCAAGCACACTACTTGGAATTTATCATCAGGACCGCCGCCAGTCTTTCCTCGATCAATTTGTGAATGACACTCTCTCCATCGAGCAAGGAGGAGGCAGACAAGCGGAACAACAGACTTCACCGAATTTTCAAGATGGCAGTGGAAAAGGCTGCACTGACGGGAATATACGAGGCCACATTGATTACGAAGGGCTGGCAGAGCTGCCTGAGACATTCACCTTGAGTGACAGGGTGATTGCACATGAATACAATTTCCTACGCCACCGTAGCACCGCGAACTGGATGGTGCTCAGATCTTGATGGTTGTTCACCCAGGGATTGTTCGCAGATATATTTGTGGCAGTAAAGACCAGATTACTGAGTACAGCCACGGGTCGTATGTCGTGCTTGGTCGACCCAAGGGAGAAGAACAACAGAAATGATCTGGATGAAATTGGCTTGTCTTTTGATTTCTTTTTGTATTGTTTTGTGTTTGATTTTATAGTCTTATCTCTGGTTCAACCGTCTGCCTTGGAGAATTCGCCGGGACGATTCATCTACTCGCGTTCTACTGGTAATTGATCAATACTCGACACACATTTATATAGAAACAGCTTGTTTTCCGAAATACTACGATGACTTCCATCTCAGTCCATCTCTCCGGTCTTCCACATGACACAACACAAGTCTTTGTCTGATCTCCTAGATCTAACGTCTTCTTTCCAACCATGGGCCAACATATTAGTCTCTGCAAGTGATAAGGTAGGTAGTAAGTAGTATAAAAAGAAAAAAGTAAAAGTAAAAAAGAATGGCGCCACCCGGAATCGAACCGGGGCTAACACAGAATTGCACACACCACAATGTGTCGTCATACCACTAGACCATGGCACCTATTACATGATTAATCAACTGTTGAGCTAGTTATCGGCACTGACAGAAAGATGAGCCGATCCCTTAATGTATAGATGTGAATGGTAAAGACGGTGGTGAAACTAGTTCGCATGCCTGAAACTGGCATAGTCATACCGATTATGGTCGTATCATAAGTCATCTGATATGGTGTAACCGCGTGAAAAGACAATAATTCACTGTGGCACTCTGCTGCGGAAACTGTGGTGTTCCCATGCTGGCAAAATCAAAGATATATAAAGAACGATCGATCTGATCCCGACTAGGTGAAGCGCGAACAGGCACATTTCTACCTTGGTGGCTCTATCGAGGGTCGATCTACTCCGTATGCAGCCCGAAATAGTGATAGGGCCCATTAATATCTAATTCAGTATAGCCCAATCAGCCTGCCATATACGACATTGCTTACGACCCTGGCGGCTTCATCTTGGTCATTCTGTCTTGGCTAATTTCTAGGTTTATAAAAGAGCCATCACACTACCAGGCTACAAGTATTGGCTTGAAAACCTCACGTTGCGATTCATCGAAGGGTGCTTTCGCTGGTACCCAGATAAACACGAGGGATTGATCTGCAGTCTACCGAATCGGGCTTTGTGACAGTTGTGCTGGTTTTTCAGGACGTATGTGATGAGAGAAACTGGGCGCGATTTTCATCTCCCTGGCAGATATTATCCACTAGTCGGGCGCTTAGGCAGCCGTTCTCCGTGGACCTATAATTCGCGACTCTATTTACATCCTTGAAACGTTACGCATATTTAAAGGGGAGATTGCCGCGCCCTCTCTGCCCCTGACCACTCCTCCACAGCTCCGGGTTCTCGCCTTAGCAGCTGCTACCCTTACACTGCAAGGTCTACATACTATTTCCTTTCAACTATAGGATCCCAGCGGCTAATTATGTAGCATCTACGGCCCCACCACGATGAGCGGTCAAAGCAGTAACTCCGGAGCCCAGAATGCTCGCGATAGTCTCGCCTCCATCTTCAGTTCTTACGAGAACCACACCCCGGCTGATCAAGCTCACGAATTCGTAAAAAGAATCCCATCTGGTGAAATTCAGACAGGAGTGAGGAAGGGTGATATACCGTCGGAAGAACAAGGGGACGAGTTAAAGAAAGCTTCGAACGAAGCTTTGAAGACACCAGATGCCATGGATAACCTCTCCAACGCCGAGAAAGACTCTATGACACAGTACAAGCCAGTCTTCGCTCGCAAAAGAAACGATAAGGAAGCGAATGGATCAATGGGAAGAATTGAGCTTCGGCGAACGTACGATCATATCATATGCCACACTGTCTTTACATATATCCAACACAATCATTCATTTGCATCGGTGACTCTGAAGTAAATTCGCTAGTAATATTCATAGTTCAACTAGTTCGTCAACGCTGTAATGAGAAACTAGATTGCACTCACTTGCCTGGTGCATTTTCATTTCACTGAAGGTGTCAATGATTACACGCTCTTCTGCGCTCAACAGACATAGTCGATCCTCAACCGCCGTCAAAGGGCCAAAAAAATTGTGGACCAATAAATTTCCAATAGATCTCATCAAACATGGAGCTGCGTCGCGAAGCGAGGCAAATCCAAAATAGTCCAGTCTCCAATGACTTCTCCATAACAATCGACAGACGCTGGGACCGTGATGACAAGGATCCGGCATTGATTTTTCTTGCCTCACAATCCCGAAGCACTTCTAGAAAAGTGCGAAACCTCGGCATAAAACGCAGCAACAATTGATCTAGATCGGACTCCCAGTCTTCCGGACGGACCAGCAAGAGCCACCAAGGAGCAGCATATGTAAATTCAACAGGAGCAGCATAAGCAGATTCCCAGTCGACTACCCCAGTAACAACAAGCCTTGAGGCATCTACAAGGACATGGTCGGGACAAAGATCATCGCAATAAATCCGGAAAGGTCCATTGCAGTGTTTTTTGGCTACTTTATGAGAAAGTCTGCGAAAAAGACAGCGCGCGATGTATTTCTTCCGGCAGTCGGATCCATCCGTGACTGCATCGTTACGTTGAAGCTCAAGATGATAAAAATGTTGTTGAGCAAGCTCCTCGAAATAATCTGCTGCGTTGTTGAAGGATTGTCGCTTAAAGACATTAAGTGGAATGTTGGAGAATTGAGCGAGGCGATTTGTAAACGGACGCTTTAGCACGGTCCAACTACCCGACGTGTCTTTTCGGACAGCTCCAATAACCGGGAATTCAGGCTTCGACAGCTCTAGCAGTACTTCTGCTATGCTAAAATAGACCTTCCTCAGGACAGAAATGGAATACCCAAACTCAGTGTGTCTGTTTCCTGAGATGGATCTCTGAGATATCCGCTTAACGGACTTCCTTCGACAAAGGACATCACAATGTACGGACCGGCCGCACACTTGCTAAGTCCCAAGATCTTTGGAACAGGGATCTTTGTGTGTTGAGCAACAAAGTCCATGAGGGTGACCTCGTCTTCAACCTTTTCATCTTCAACCTTTTCATTGCGAGCGACGACCCGACAAAGAGTAGCAAAGCGAACTACAACACGATGTCCATTTTCGAAAGTAACTCGATAGCAAATATTGAAAGCACTATTTGGAAGGCGTGAAGCTGTCACGGGTGTACCGGGGCAATGCCGTGAAGCAAGCTTGCCCGCCAAATCCTCTGGTGAATTTCTGAGTAAATTTTGTGTTCACCACCTGGAAAATTCGATCTGACTGTCGCTTCGCAAGATCATCGAAGTCCATTTCACATGCAATGTGAGTTGGATGTATACAAAGAAAGAGGTATGGGGAGGTACCGGAGACTGCCGAGGTGCGATAGCACCCGTCGACCGTGGGGAAATCTCCTAAGCAAGTCCTTCGAGCATGTGATGCGGTCACCAGCAAGCAGACCCATCCATAGTCGAAGCCAATCTTCACCTCGCCCGTATCATCTTCGCAGTCATATTAACCAATTAGGAGTGAGGTAACCAGGCAATGTCTTAACGCCCAAGCTATTAGCGTGATCACACTGCACTAGTGCTATGCACGGTTGCTCGAGACCGAACAAGATTTACAGCGGAGTAACCGCAATTTCCCATATTCGGACATTGCCAGTATATATGTAGTAAGACCGCGGCCTTCGCGGTGAGCTAAGGGTTGTTACCTAGGTACGGAAGAAAATAGAAAGGGCCCACAGGCCAAGTATACCTACATATGTCATATGACTAGCCCATGGCACCCATTGGATGGTTAAATAATCCTCATCATGTCCCATCCATGGAAGAGTCCATTTTTTTCCACGTGATGCTATTAGAGTAGCTGAGATTAGAAATGGATCAAGATGAATTCATGAATCGGGAAGTGACCGACCATTATCAACCATTTCGGATGCCCTGATATTTTGGACTCAACATTCTCGCAGCTATGGATATCGCTTAAATAAAGTATCTGCCACTCCGTACAATATTGCTCCAGCGGCAAAAGTACCAGCAAAGACAGAAAATGCAGCAACATATTGAGGCCCATCTTTTGCTGGAAACAAGGCACTACCGTACAGCTGAGCCAATGCTCCAACTCCATTCATCGTGGCTAACATTATTGCTCTCACGTCCTGATTGACTGACGCCAGGCCAGTAGTCGCAAAGGACAGAGCGAGAGCATTTCCAGTCCATGCTGTAGTATTGGTGACACAAAGAAAGACATACCTTGCTGTGTAGTGTTGAATAGCTGCTGTCAATGCGAAAAATATCATGCCCACTGTCAGATTCACCACCAGAATAATACCTCTCAAATAAGGCTTGCGATCAGCAAAATAGCAGACCGGCAATGCGACAATAGGTGAAACAAGATATAGCGGAGCCGTCATGTATTGGGCGTTTGTTGAAGAATACCCCATACCTTCAACCAATGTCGGATAAAAGTATGACAAAGCTAATGCACCAAGAATAGACATATACCCAGGAACAAGAAGCCAGGTTCTCCAGTTGGACAGTGCTTTTAGCAAGCAAATGAATATAGAAGTTCTTGTGGTTGGCATCTCGGAATTGGCGTGCGTCTCTGCTACCCCGTCATGAACCATTCGTTTCTGTGCAATATCACGCTCTGCCTGGTCCAGTCCTCGACTATTATATGGGTAGTCAAGTAAGGTCCAATGCGAAAGGACGCTTATTCCGACTGTGGTGACGCCTTCAACGATGAATAGCCATCTCCATCCGTGAATCCCATGAACACCGTCCAACGATGAAGTTATAGCCCCCGAAACGACGCTCCCAAAGGCGCCAGATAAAATACCGGCAGAAAGGAAAATTATAAATCGCTTCGATCTACATTCTTGAGATCAGTTTGAACAGAACTTTGAAACACGGCATTTTCGGCCTTACTGCTCACACTTTCGATACCACGTCGATATCAGGAAAATCACTGCTGGCTTTATCATTTTCAAATCAGCTGAGGCCACTAAATGACAAGACTGTAGGCGTTCATGCCGAGTACGCACACTAAACCCGGCCTCGAAAATTCCAAGAAGAAATCGTAAAACAATCAGTTGGATGCTGTTAGATACAATTCCTAGTAAGGCTGCCACCGTACCCCAGGCAAAGGTGATGATAGGGATAAAGTATGAGGGCCGCGTTCTAGATAGAATCATACTGCGAAATTAAGGGTTCATTAGTGGTCAATTCATATGTCCTGAATTGCCATAAAGGGGAGGTGCGCACTTAGATGGAACTGCCGCGGCGGTATAGCCAATCACCCAGACAACCACAGCTATGTAGTATTCGTTCGAACTCAGTTCCAAGTCTTCTTCCATACCGGCTATCTTCGCAAGGCCGATATTGGAACGATCCTAAGATGTTTAGACTTTTCCAGTGTCGGGCGGGACTTATGACCCACCATATATGATAGAAGATAAAGGATGAACATCGAAGGCATCAAAAATAGATCAATTTTGCGTACCAGTCGTTTCTCTGCTTCTGTGTCGATTTCACCGAGTTCAATGTTATGTTCATGGTGAGAAGCTTCGGCTTTGCAAGAATCTGTAGATTGAGACATTGGTTTACTGCACCCAGTCAAGGTATAATGAGGAAAATCTAAGCTTGGAGGTAGGAGTCTGGGGGAATTTATATGTTGAGTTCCTTGTCGGACCAGCGGAGGTAATCTTGGAATATGGTCTGTCATTCGCGAATGGACACTAATTACGGAGAAAATCTGGGGTAAAGCAAACAGGGAAGCGGACATAGCTTAGAGTCTAGTACCCCGGTGAGTGAAGATCAAGTAAACCTTACCAGGCTGTGCTAAAGACTTGCTGGAGACCTTCACAGCAGTTTTCTTGGCATATCGATTGGCACAAAGGGGTTTGGTAATGCTGGCTTATCAATAATAAGACTGCTCCCCGAAAACCGCTGCGAGGTTCGAGGACGACACGAGAATGATATGGGTCAGCCCCAGTTGGACAAGTGAGATGAGACTATTTGATGCAGGAGACATGTTGCAAAAATGATCAATCTTAGACCCTTAGGAAAGAGTCTCATTTCTCCTCCCATTACCGCCCCCTTTTAGAACTAGTAGGTGAGGCCCATCGTGCCTCGACATGCAATTCTATCTGTAAGACCCTCACGACCTTCCATCAAAAGTTTATTAGCAATGGATTTGACCTTTAGGTCCTGCTTTTCCAAGGGCAGGAGCGGGGTACATCTTCCCAACCTCCAGTCCGTTAAAAGCCTGGGGTGGACAGCGTGATTCGTGGTCGGATGTGATTCGGGGAGGTTCCGGTATGTGAACGGATCTGCTCATATAGCCTTCAAAACAACGCGATTAGTAAATTTCAAGGACAAGTCAACGCCAAAAAACCAGTATCATAGCCCCGATGTCGGCTGCAGAGTTATTTTCTGTTTCACCTGGACCAGCCACACTCGGCTAGAGTCTGAATTCAGCAAGTCTGACAGAACCCTACACACAATGCCTGCACAAGTTTCACACTTGTAAAGTCCTATCTATTCAATCGGCTTCCCCCAATTTGTATCATGAATCTAAATACTACAAGGTGCAGGGTCTACAGAGCAACAATGATGAAGGTTCGATGATAAAAGAACCATTATCAAGGGAATCAATGGGGAATGCAGACAGAAACATGCATATGTGGCGAAGCTGCATGACAAAATTGAAAGGCAGCCAGTATGTTTATTAATTTGAGTAGAAATCTTCAATGGGAGCAAGGGGCGCTATTTGGGCAATCTCTAGCACTTGAAACATGAGAAACATGGCTGGGTTTTACTATGTAAATCAGAAGGGATCAGTTTGACTTCGTATGTTTGGTCTTGGGGCGTCGCTAGAAAGGGTGTCATAATATAAATAACCGGACAAGAACAAATTTCAAACGACATGATACCTTTAAGGTTGACCTTATCTCCGTATGAAAGGTTGGATAACATCGCTATCTCACTAATCACATCTTAAGAATGTAGGACTTATCGTAGGAATTGCCTTGTGCCTCAGCATTTGCCGTACTTGCTAGTGAAAAGCGTTGATGGTGTAGGAATACTAGCTGATCTAAGAATCCCCTTCGCCCGAGATCTCGGATGCAGAAACCATTGCGAAAGCCAATCAGAGTTTCGCCACATATTGCAGTCCTGCACTCGGCTCATGCATTGCGCCCAGGCAGTCCCTTCGGCAGAGCAAACCCACCTATATCTTTTAGGAAGGTAAACGCACGCTTCATGAATTGAGACAAGTCTTCGCCCAGCCATTGTGGCATACCATTGTTCCTGGTAAACTCTAGCTCCTGCTGGAACCTCCCAGAAATCTGGACATATCAGCTTGTCATGAGTCGGATAAAGCAAGCTTTATTTCGCCACGTACCAATGTACATGCTCCACTCTTAGTGTCGTCAACGGATGACCGCACAATGGCACGCGCTACCATCTCTGGAGTGTTGGTTTCAAGTCCGGCAGCTTTCCATTTTTCCGTTAACCCTGTCGTGATTTGAGTTGGAGTAAAGAACGGTGCGATTGCTTTAACCGCAATGCCGTATTTCTGTGCAGCTGTCTGCGACGCTCGTAGTAAGCCGATTACCCCGTGTTTCGAAGCGACATATGCTGCGACTCCCGTATCTCCGAAATATCCTGATGTCGAGGCCACTAAAATAATAGCAGGCAGTTGTTTTGTATCGTTTTTGGACGAAGATGACATTACATAATGCATGCCCAGTCTCAAAGCTGGGAGGCAGTAGTTAGCGCCACTGGCAAGATCGGGTGGAAAAGAGAGAGGTGGGGAGATACTGTTCAATGTTCCTTTCAAGTTGACATCGATGACACGAAAAGCCTCTTCAGACTCCCTCAAATTCCCTTCATTATCCATGTTTTCCATACTCAGTGTCTCAGTTGATTCCATAATTGCGGCATTAGCTACCACGATGTGGATGTCTCCGAAAGCTTCCACAGTACGCTGGAAAAGATCGTTCATTTGTTTCCAGTTGAGGATATCAACAGGAATGTAGGCTGCTTTGCGGGGATGAGGTAGGGATGCAAGCACATTTTGTGCTTGATCTTTAACCGCGGGGATGTCGGCAAGAACAACATTGGCACCATGTTCGTTGAAGACTTTAGCTGCAGCGGCACCAATGCCCCCAGCGCCCCCAGTGATAAGGACGGTTCGAGATGCCACTCGATCCAAAATCCGCTGGTCAAAATCCATTTTGGTTCGACACGTCTCTTCTGTTATGAGGGTAGGAAATAACAAGGGTATTGATCACTGAAGCGTTTAAACAAAGGCTGTTTAGAAATTGTAATAGTCAGATCAATCTCAATCGTTTTGCACCTACTGTTCTTTATACCTGAATGACTTGGCCCGGACTTAATCGAGATTTACGTGACGGGAGAAGTATCTAGCCAGTCTGTCGTTTCTCCGGATGGTCCAGCTGGACACGACTCACTGTCTATCATTATTCTGCATGTTTTTTTGGCTTATATGACGCCACTACGCCCTAAACATGAACCTTATTTTTTGTTATGATCTAGTGGTAAAATACGCTGTAATTTCCCCCACATTTTTCGAAAGTTGAAAAGCATTGGGTTGAGATGTTAATGTAACACGGGGAACGGGCGGAAGAGCGCCGGAGGTAGGCCGGAGTCGGTACTGCCAAGGGATACTCACAATCTCACTACCCTGAAATTCGGAGGAACCTCCAACTGAACGTAGTAGGGGGGACCCGGACGTTTCCCGGAGCTTCCGGCCGGACTCAACGGCCATTTTCCATGCGTGGCCATCAAGACGAGACGTTGATGGACGATCAAACGCCGAGAGCGATATTTGAAGTATGCGCAGGCATGAGGATTTCCATATCTACTGTGCTTCTATCGCAACGTAGCGTCTTCTGTCGAAAGAGTTGTTGTCGAAGAAGTAACAGCGGAGCAGCTTGGAACTAGTATCGAAACCAGTTTTCAGACCACCAGGCTAGTCTCGGATACCTAGGATCTTATGACAATTGATTGTTCAACCGCTGAAACTTATATATCTACGTCAAAAAACCAGCATCTTCTCCATTTATCAGAATAAGATTTTCCTTATTCACATGAAATCAAGCTTTTCAACTTCAGTTACTACATAGAAATCTTAAAGTAAAGGAAATACACCACCCAGTTGGGTATGCTAGGACGTTTGGAATCGACTGTCTGACTCCCTTCATGCCCGGACAATGCTAGGTCGGTCGACTGCAAAAGGTGAAGTAAAATATATATTATGTCAAACTTGACCATAAAAGGGAAGCAATTTCAGCATCCTTAGCGATTGAAGGGCTACAAGATGCAGTATCCTGCAGGAAGCTTAGGGCAAAAATACACCATTCTCGGTGTTGAGATGGGACAGCCTGCTGCAGCCGACCATCAGCATGACACCGAAAGCAGTATATAATAAGCAGTTGTCCAAATAGTCTGTTGTTGAATAAACAATCAGTAGCCTTGTTCGATCAGGATTTAGGAGGAAACTCACTGAGCACAGATATTGAATCTCAGAGGCATACAACTCCTCATCAAACTGATCACTTTGACAATGGGCTCCCATTCGCATATACAATGAAAGATCTCCGTACAGCGCCGTAAATCATCGATGGTAGTGTCTTCGGGACTGCTTAACACCCTGTGGCTGTGGGACTTAGTACAAAAAGCCGAATACATCACTATTCGCTTTCTTCTTGCGTTCGTTTTCTTACAGCAAAGGTCTCCCAAAATGATACCTGGCAGACATGTAACGGGCGCGGAGCCAAGAGACAACTAGAATATCTTTGGGAGATTCTGGGAGAGGAGCTAGATTGTCTTCATCGAATTGAAGGGGAGCGGGGAGTTGGTTACGCCACTGTTCGAGCTGATACGTTAGTTCTTCTTCGATTGAAGATAGCGAGTACCGCTCTTCTGGGTCTGTATTTGTCAATATTATGTTTGGGATTTAGAGACATGGGACATCCGTACTTGTGAAAAAGAGGCAGTTACTTGTCCTCGTCAGTAGTATTCTGAGTGCGGTCTGGGCCAAAAAGTAGTAGTGACAGAGAGAATCATTCTCTTCTTCCCTCACGTTATCCACATATACAAAGGAGGGCTGTTCAAGTTTCAAGAACCTTGGCAGAGGTACCTGGTCGGATATCTCTTGTAATCCACTATCAGGTAAGCTTAACTCCTTCGTCAAAATAGCCTCGGACATTAAGGCAATCCAAAATAGTCGAGATTGCATGTCGGCGACCCAAGTGTCGCGCTGAACAGGCATGCTTTAGAAAACATGATTAATTCGCGTCTATAAGCCAAATAAAGATACAACTCACGTCATCCAGAACATACGGCAGCAGGTAGATGCCTTTGTCGTCATAGACCATGAGTCCACTGGACGAGCTAACTGGGAATAAAAAAGCCTAAAGATGAGATTAGTAGAGCCTCTCTATATTTTGAAGGGGCATACCCGGCAAGGAGATAATATTGACAACTTTGAAGGCCGTTATCATTGATAAGCCAACCAATTCGCTTTCGAGACTCGTTGAAGAACAATATACCAGATAATTCTGTAGGAGAATCTTCAGCAGAGTCAGCAAGATCCATATCCCCCAAGCTCCAGCTACCATGCTCGAATCCAGCCTCTGCGAGACCTTTTTGACCTAAGGAGCCCAACGCCATCACAACAAGCACCACGCAGCTCTCAATGTCATTGCCGAAATTCCCATCTATTGCCCTGGAAAGAGTGTGAAGTTGATAGAAACTTCGATCAAGTATAGGATTGGTTAAATGGAATGTGGAAAAATAACTGTCGCACAACTCTTTAACTGTGGAGACCATCAGTTGAGAAAGAAAATTGGTGGGCTTTTTCCGAGCCAATAATCGGCAATCTGGTTGGAGTGGTGCTCTTGCAGACTCAAGAGTGATGGCATAGTTCATACCATACTCGGCTAATATCATCTGGACAGAATCTGGCATCATTTTAACCACACCACTCCAAGATATGACCTGATGGGCACTGAATGGAATTGCGGTAATTTGTGGGTGGCATCCAGGTGCAGAATCCATCAACTCAGGACTTCCCTGTGATATAGATGGGTTTGTAAGAGGATGCGATGCCGAGCTTTGACTTGCGTAAAGAGCTGTAGGTGTGCCGGTCCCGTGGGGTCCAAACAAAGCAGGCACGACTCCCTCCACCCTGGCAGAGATAGTCTCAAGTGTAGATTCAAAGCGGCTAAGGATCCTGAGGAAATCAGAATGCGAAGTACTGCCAATGGTCAGTTGACTTTCCATTATTTTTTCACACATTTGGGTATTCACTGGACCGACTTGCGGCTGTTATAGAGACACTCGACCTCCAAGCTTCGACACAAGCCGCAAGGAAATTCTTCGTCACATCTCGTCTTTTTCAAGCGACATCGCTCACATGCCTGACCCCTTATCAGTTATGGGATTCTGGATAGCGAGACTAGGACTTTCGCGGCCTGTGGCCTACACACCTGTCTGGCAACGCTACTGCGCTGCCTCTTGTTAGGCCTCTCTGGAGCCAGCGTATCTGCATTGGGTATCAAATCAATATCCGGAGGATCATTCATCTTGCTCTACGGTGAAACCGGAAGCGATGATACCCAAACGGAGCAAGGGAGATGCGTGTAATAGTTAGTGGGAGGGTCAACCTCTGCAGAGAGATGTAAAGGAAATCGATTATCTTTCACGCTACCCTTTCCCTAAAATTGGTCTGTAATTTTGGGACAAACATTGACTGCGGTACGGTGTATGGATAACTAAATTAGGGTGACGCATCTGGGTGACTGCAAGAAAATGTCTGGTTGGCCGCCTCCGAGGAGCCTTCGACCGTCGTTCGCGACTCTCAAAACTGTGAGGGTCTTCTGACATCATTCGCCGGGTTAACAAGATCGTACACTTTCCCTTTTCAGCTCACACGCGATGCTGCGGGGCGGGGCATATGCGGGGCATATGCGGGGTATAGCCACCAGGCCCGCTGAATTCGGCGAACCCATCAAATCGTGGGGAAAAATACAGCGTATTTTACCACTAGACCATAATGTCGAATACCAAGGTTCGATTACATGGTTGCTACTAGTAAGCAAAACTCATCTGACTACCTGACGACCCCCTATTCTTCTGAAGAAACTCCCCAAACATCTGGAAACCTTGTTTTTGAGGGCTCTGTCACAAATATACAAAAATGTACATAATATTCAATGGGTAAGATCAAAATCCCAGCGGGGTCAATCAACGAAACACGCGATCGTTATCCTCTACGCGTTGTAATTATACTCGTTTATGAGATAGTCCCTGACGTGGAGTTATCATTTCCGGCTTGCTTTGTTTATTCAAAGAAGAGAAGGTGTAAATTCAAGGCAGAATCATCGACTGGATAGGATATGGCTTTACACTATTCCAGAGCAAGACGTGAAACCACCATCAACAACCAACATTTGACCAGTAATGTATTTTGCAACATCACTGGCTAAAAATACTGTCGCGTTCGCCACATCAGTCGCATCACCCATATGGCCCATTGGGATAGGCTGTTGACAAATCCGTTGGTAGACTTCGTGGTCACCATTAAGCTTCAGCTTTTCCACAAGCGGAGTGTGTATCAACCCAGGTACCACCGAGTTCAGGCGAATCCCTTTAGCTGCATACATTGCCGCAGTCACTTTTGTAAACTGAATAACAGCTGCCTTGGCGGAAGAGTAAGCAATCTGCGGCTTCCCGATGTATCTCAGGCCAGCAATTGAGGCGTTGTTAACCACGCTGCCCGATCCTTGCTTTTCCATGATAGGGAGCACCGCATGGCAAGAAAGATAGACGCTTTTGAGGTTGAGGCTGATTTGATGATCCCAAACGTCCTCAGACATACTGACTGGGTCGCCAGTTGCAGTTGCGCCCACGTTGTTGATGAGGATATCGATGCGGCCGTATCTGGTCATGGCAGCATCGACAACGTCTTTAATGTCGGCTGCGGATGTCACGTCACCGTGCATTACTTCACAGAAACCTCCCTCCCTTTTTATGAGAGTAGCCGTATGCTGAGCTGCAGGAAGATTCAGATCGCAGCCGAATATTCGTGCACCACTATGAGCCAGAACTCGTGCAACGGCTGCTCCATTACCCCAGGCTCCTGAGCCTGGAACATGTACCTGTCCAATTCCCATGACAAGGGCGACCTTATCCTTGAGATCTGGATAAATTGCGAACGTTGTCATTCTCAAAAAATAAATAAAAATAAAAATAAAAGATAAAAAGATAAAAGCAAGGGAGGATAACAGGTGAAGCGTTGGCTTAAATATTTGTTCCGAATAATAAATTGATGTCGAAATTCAAGATTGTTCGTGCAAAGGAAATCGTAGGAATTAAATACGCGTAAACCAGGGACGTAATCATTCACTGTTTCCTATGGCCAGCGCTCCCCCTTCCTGAGAGAGAAGAAGCCGGGGAGAGAGGTCCGGAGCTAGTTAACCTTGGAATACCCGTGAACACCTGGGCAGTTTCCGCATATCTGACTAATCGGCTAATCTGTCCACGGGTCCATGGGTCGAACAGCTATGGGCTTAGGTGGAATGCACGAATGAGATAGCAAGGAGGCTGAATTCGAAATGCGCCCCTTGTTACAATCTAGATTCTGTCCTCCCTTCCGCCTTTAGTACGCTAGTCTAGTAGTCTAATTTATCAGCCCAATACGATGCTGCCAAGGATCATGAAAGACTGTTTCGAGATGTTTAAGAATCTCGGCAGCTATCCAGTGCCGGTATTTCGCCTTTGTGCTGATGTGGGCGGCTGCTTTTCCGCAACCACGGTTTAGCACATACGCCATTCAATGCTGCCCGGTAGAATAGCGATCCTTGTTCAGCAATAGTTGTTTTTTAATTTGCGATCGCCAGTGGTCGAACTGGACAGTCTTGCCATCGTTCATCATCGGAGCGTCAGGCAGTTTTATACTCTTTCTTATCGGAAGACGTGGGGGTATTCGTCGAGGGTGGGGAGGTCGAATGGCGCCGTAACTACTCCCTATAGTCTGGATGTTTTGTTGTAGAGCCTTGTTGTCCCGTTTTAGTGACTTGACTTCGTTTTCAACGCGGCGGCTTCATGGTAGGCCTTCAATTTGCTCAAAACAAGGCCCTTCCGCGTGAAGGTCGCTGACTTCTTGCTCTAGCCAATCGACGCGGTCCTGGTAAACACCTATAATATCCTCCCTCTTCTTCAGGTAGTCAAAGGCGAATTGAGGATCTTCGGAAAAGTTGTTCGGAAACCTTGCAGCTTGCTTAAGCTTTCGGCAAGTGGGGTCAAACGTTCGGATAGGGCGGTTCTGATTGGTTGGTCGGTGGCCCAAGAACATGAGACAGAATGCATACAGCTGCGGGCTGCCGAAAAGAGAAGTAAACATTGGAATGAATGAAATGAGCTTAGTCTAATGAGATGAGGCAGATCAGAAAGTGAGACTCTTACTAATGAGAATTAAGCTGGAGAAAGAAAGACGCAAAGTGAGAGAAAGAGCAGAAGAAGTCTCCTAGATCCCCTTCCTCGACCACGTGATCCGTCTCAAGTACGCAAGTCACTTGCTAGTGAAAAGAATCGATAGTATAGAAATACCTAGCTGACCTAAAAATTCCCTTCACCGGTTTTCTCCGATGTGCTCCGTTGGAGCGAGAATGGCGAGTGCCTCGCTACCAAGCCGAAAGAGGAAGGCGCTATGGGACCGGACTTTCCCCGGCAGGGAAAATGATATCAACACCTCTCCCATTGGCCTACTTTTACACCATCAAACGCCCGTCACGAGCCGGTTGTAACGCCATAATTCTATTCCTTTCCGTTTATCCGACTTCGGCATAGAGGGTTCGAGGGTAGAACTCTAGGAACCAAATAGTCGAGAGTGTTAAGGGTACTAAGCCTCGACCCTTAATTATGGATTATATTTAGATTTTTTGAATTAGTAGCTATGCCTCTTAGAGCGATGGCAAAGGCTTTCAGTGGACAGAGAAAAATGGCGGAAAATTGACAGTTCGTTACTGTAGTGTGTTTTACTTCGTTAGCAATTCGTAACGTCCTAATCCGATTACCGTAATTCAAATATGCTTTATCAGAGCCACAGTGCCCAGCCGGACCCCGCTCCGGTGTGGATGGGCCACCTTTCAGAGATATGTAGCCTCTTCCGGAGGTCTCGTTAGTGCTCCCGGTGGTTAAAGTTAATCTGAACTTTCACATCAGCATTGGGTGAAGTTCCGCGAAGAGACTTGTGTTGGAGCGTCCATGATTATAAATTGTATGCCTTCCCAACAAGAATGAAGTCTGTGATACAAAGCATTACCAATCTTCATTGTGCGAAATCAGTTTGTTGTTCAACCATCACTAGTCGAGTGTGTTACAATGCATGAAAGCAACGCCCCAGAAGTTGTCAATGGAACAGAGAAAGCAGAGTACGATGTTCTCATTATTGGGGCGGGAATGTCAGGCATCTTCTCTATTATCCGCATGAAAGAGCTTGGGCTACGAACGAAGGTGATCGAGAGAGGGTCCGGCGCAGGTGGAGTTTGGTACTGGAATCGCTATCCTGGAGCGCGCTTCGATTGTGAGAGCTATATATACGGATTTACCTTTGATCAAAAGATTCTGGACGGCTGGGACTGGAAGGAACACTTTTCGGCACAAAAAGACACAGAAGAATATATCAACTACTTGGTTGATCAGACTGGAATTCAGGACGCCTTCCAATTTAATACGGAAATCAAGTCAGCCCATTGGCAAGAATCTTCCAGATTCTGGCTGCTGACAGATACCACCGGGCATACTTACACGTCTCGACTTTTGATCAATGCCCTCGGACCCTTGACTGCTCATACCCTGCCAAATATCCCAGGTGTGAATGACTTTAAAGGTCTAGCATGCCACAGCTCACGATGGCCAAAGGAAGAAGTGAGCTTTGAGGGCAAAAGGGTGGGCCTTATTGGAACAGGGGCCACCGGCGTCCAGATCGCTCAGGAGGTCGCAAAGACGGCGAAGCATTTCACGATATTCCAACGCACTGCCAACTGGGCCGTTCCCATGCACAACAAGGCTCTTTCGGCTGAAGATATGGCTGATATTCGAAGGAGGTACGCAGAGATTCATGCTGCCTGTAAATCAAGTCCTCAGGGTTTTCATTTCGGACCGGACCCACGCAATACTTTTGACGTTCCGAAAGAAGAACGGGAAGCGTTCTGGGAATCTCTATACAGCCAACCTGGACTAGTTAAATGGGTTGGAAACTTCAAGGATCTTTATCGAAACCAAGCGGCGAATGATGAATACAGCGCGTGGGTGGCCAACAAAATTCGGCAGCGCGTCAATAATCCCGCTACGGCCGAAAAGTTGATTCCCAAGAGTCACGGATTTGGCACGCGCAGAGTTTCTCTCGAGACGAATTACTTCGAAATCTACAATCAGGAAAATGTACGACTGATTGATCTCAAGGCGACTCCAATAGAGAAAATTACGGAGAAAGGGATCAAGACCAGCGAGGAGGATCTCGAGTTTGATATTTTGATTTACGCCACTGGCTTTAACCCTGTCATCGGTGCATATGAGGATATCGATTATCAAGGCGAGAACTGCTTGGAATTGAGAGAAAAATGGGCAGACGGACCCAAAAGCTATCTCGGATTGAATGTCTCGGGTTTTCCAAACATGTTCACCGTGCTCGGACCCCATCACGCCGCCGGAAATCTTCCTAACTCTATTGAGTCTGCTGTTAACTGGGTTCACCGACTTATCAAATACATGTCGGAAAGGGGTATCACCTACGAAATGGCGGACGAGGAAGGCGAGCTCAAGTGGACGAAACATTGCAATGAAGTCGGAAAAGGTCTTTTGGCTCTCAATGTCGACTCCTGGCAGACCGGCGTCAACTACAATGTGCCCGGAAAGCAGAAAAGGACAATCCCTCGATACTTTGGCACTAACATCCAAGTTCGCCAGTGGTGTTCGGATGAGGAAAGCCGGGGCTATCCGCATTTCAAGTTTAGTGAATAAGTCGTTTCGGGGAGGGATTTTACTTCTAGGAATATTTTATCGAAGTGGTGTCAGAAGTGAGGATGAGACCATGTTCTTTCTGTAACGTAGTAACATATCCTTGACTAGCAAATGATCCTTAGTGACCTCAGCGACGACGAACTTTCCACCATTTGTAACTCACCATTAAGCGTGCGATTGAGCAGAATCGTTATCGATTTCACAGTAGAATTCAAAAAGCAGACTACTCTCCAACCCTTAGTCGTTCACGTGAAGAGTATAAAGTAATAATAAGGCCCCTCGATTCTCAAGTAGTTTCTGAATGGATCGACACAGATACTATGTTGTACAGTGCGTATTGACTATCTATCTACTAACCTCCTTTGGTTAGTCTCTTAGCGCAGATGTTAGTTATCTGGAAAGTGAGCAATTCATCCAAAATTATCAGTGGCTCTGTTCTCGCCGCTTTGAGTAAAATCCAGCACGCTCCTGAGTAGCCTACTTGATAATCACCTTCAGCACACCTCCTTGGAAGAGGTTGTCTAGGCCTCAACAAGATGACCCTGCTCGTTCTTCCAAACGAGCTCCTCCAAATCCTCACCGACAAACTACAGAGTGAGACTGACTTGAATTCCCTCACCCAAGCTAATACCCGGCTCTACAATCTCCTTAATGGCGAGCTTTACCACCGCAATGCGCGGGGCTCTGGACGTTCGGCTCTACTCTGGGCTGCAGTTCACGGTCGAGGGGAGACAGCCTTCAAATCACTCTAGACAAATGTGAAAACCGACGGCCTAGCTCAATTACGCCATATCACCCTCCCGTTGTCAAGACGAGGCAGTTCGCGGGATCTTTATAACGATGCAAGTATATCACCACCGCTGATCTATACGGCGGCAGGTGGTGATGGTCGCGTTGCCGAGCTGCTGATCTAATACGGCGAAGATGTCAACCATTTCACTATCTGGAACTACACTCCTCTAACGTGGGCGGCAAGTCAAGGGAATATTCAGATAATAGAACTGCTACTTAGTCGTGGTGCTGATATCTAGGGAATGCCGTCGGGATATGCTCCGCTTTCTGCTACAGCGACGAATGGGCATGTTGCTACGGTTCGTTTATTACTCCGGCACGGTGTAAAATTGGGCGCGACACTAGGTTAGAGGTCACCGCTCTCTCTAGCTACCCTCGGAGGCCATATTCAAGTAGTGGAGGAGCTGCTTAAAGAGGCGCGGATCCCACATATGTTAATAATAAATAGACTGGCCGGTCATCGCTCTTTAAGGTAGCATAGAAAGGCTATATCGATATTACGAGTTCTCTAATTGACTATAGCGCCTATATAAACCATAAAGTATATCAAGTGACGCCGTTGATGTCTGCTACGCGATGTGGACGCTATAATATGGCAAAATTCTTGATTGAGCGCGGTGCGGATATATATCTCGCGGATCATATAAACCGCACCCCGCTTTAGTGGGCGGCAAATATAGGATATATTGCGACCGTAAGGGTTCTTCTCTATCATAGTGCTACGGCAGAATTAAACTTGCTAGCGAAGTAGCTGTTAATGTCACCTTTGTTAATAGCTGCTAGTCGCGGGCACTTTGCTTTAGCAGAGCTGCTACTAGAAAATGGAGCTGAACCTAATTGCCCTAATAAATACAACAACGCGCCGCTTTAGTTCGCTACGAAGTACGGGTAGGAGCAGGAGACATTAATAGTAAAGTTGCTTCGGAAAGGAACTGACCCGAATATCTCATGCCCTTCGACACACCTAATGCAATAGGCTATTATTCGAGGTAATGGGTTGACTGCCAAGCTACCCCTCGAACGAGGAGCCGACCCAAATGCTATTTTACCACCTAAGGGCTCTGCCTACCGGAGAGGACTTCCTCCTCAGTCGATGCTTTCGTGCGCCGTGCAATACGAACGCGAGGAAATTGCAGAGATGTTGGTAAAATTTGGCGCTGACCCTAACGTCGACGGGTACGATGGGCGCCCTATTCCGATAAAAGTAACGCCGAGGGGATACCAAGGATCGGTCCGAACGATGCTCGCGAATGGGGCTAATCCTAATTGCTCTGATGCAGATGAAGGACCACCTTGTTCCTCGCAGTTGTCAACGGGCAGGCCGAGACGGTGAGCCTACTGCTTGGGAAGGGTGCGAACCCGAACCACCGGAAAGACCGGTACTCATTGTATTCATGGTGAGAAGAAGGGGCATATACTGTTGGCAAAGTAATAGTCCCTAGTCCCTAGAGAAGAGGTCTAAAGCGAGCTTGGAAGCCCGCAGAGTAGTCATCCTCGCGGCCCGCTGACCCATCTTATTCTAAGGGCGCCGCGGTTCCCAGTTCCCAGATTCCTTTTACTGTTCTTACCTTTTTGACTCATTAGCTTAACCTAGTGATTCGGGTTCTAGGAATGAAGGTGTGAAAATGAGAAGTTTAGAAACCCAGGGGTAAAGGTTAGGTTACTGACCCTATCCATACTCACATTTCCTTTTGTTTGCTAGTTAGATAGAGAATCGCCTATAGCAAACAAAGAGCCTAGGGAGACCCACATTCAGGGAATACCCAATCCGATTGGCAGATCATCCAACAGTAGCAGCCTTGAGCGTTCCCCTCTTCAAAAGTTACATATAGTTAGCTGACCAGTTATACCAAGTAGAGGAATCGGATTCGCATAAAGTGGGGCACAAGCAGCAGCAAGCCTCATTTCCTTCCTGCGACAACAGTCAAATTGTTATTATCCTTCCTCTCCTTCCTCAATATCACGCCTGGATAGACTATTCTTCCGTTCCGCAACTGACATCCACAATGCACAACATGTCATCTCCTGTGTGGCTCATCACGGGCGCTTCTAATGGCTTTGGCCTTGGAATGTGCCTTCACGTTCTGCGTGCGGGGCACCGTGTTATCGGCTCTGTCCGCAGTACGACCAAAGCCGCCACTGCGGTTGAGCAGATCGAGCAGGCTGGAGGCTCGGTGATTGAGTTGGACATGACAGAGTCGCAGGCCAGCATTGCAAGCAAGATATACGCCCTTGGTCGCATTGACTATCTGATCAATGTTGCTGGCTACTCTATCCTGGCCGCCTGCGAGGACATTACGTACGTAGCGACCAATATGAAGGAGATAAGGACGATTGGTCCCTCTGACTTGTTGTAGTGATAAAGAAGCAACCCTCCAAATGACCACTAACTTCTTCGGCCCCCTGTACACCCTGCAGGCTGTCCTCCCTGTCATGCGCGCCCAGCGCTCTGGTACCATTGTCAACATCTCTAGTGGTGCCGCCCAGGACCCCCTACCGGCATGCTCTTTATACAGTGCTTCTAAGGCCGCGCTGGAGGCTGCGTCCGAGTCGCTTGCCAAGGAGGTCGCGCCTCATAACATCCGCGTGCTGATTGTCGAGCCCGGCAATTTCCGCACCAACTTTGTCAGCGCGGTGAGTTTTTGAATTTGTTTGCCCTTGCAATTTCGATACAATCAATTAATGCTAATTTACTCGCGTTACAGTTGTCTGACGCAAGTCCCGACCCGGCCACGGTCGCTCCCCACTATGATGACCCTGTAGGCGTGGTGATACGCAAGTTCCTCACTGTCCACGGAAAGCAGCCTGGCGATCCCCAGAAGGGGGTCGAGCGCATCTTCGAGGCCGTCACGGGCACTGGGATGGCCGGTCCCCTGGCAGGCAAGATCTCTAGACTGGTTCTGGGGAGCGATGCGTATGCGAGGATGCAGAAGAGCTGCGAAAGATTCGGCAACGATTTGAGTTTGCAGGAGGAAGTTGCCCTGAGCACCAATTATGCCTAAGATGGACAAACCTTCAAGGACGGGCAGTATGCGAGCACCAAGATGTACGCATGTAGCTACATTACAGTATTAAGGTTAGGGCAATATATTCCTTACAACCAAGAATGAAGAGGTAGCTATGCAAACCAAAATTTTCTTATTAAACAGGCCTAAATTATATCCAAGTAACTTTGTTAAACGGCATAAACCAACTTCTATCCGCTGACGTTGCCCACTTCCTATCAAATATCATATGTACATGCGCCAATCGCCTTCTGATCCCACCTTGACCCACTCAAAGAAGAGCTTAGGAGCTCGGAGCTCGGTGATCCGGGTCAATAGCAAAAATGCCTCACCTGTGAGATATAGGCAGCAGGGGGAAAAGAAAACCATAGCTGTTGGATGGGGCAGCAGGGGTCTATATACAGCCACGCACGGGCACGTACAGCGACCGGTAACGCTAAAGACTACTTGATCTAAGCCGGAAGCAGCCTCCACCGTAGTGGTCCGATATGGTGTAAGTCGAGGTGATGACGGAAAGGCCACACTTGTGTGTGGTTTCGATGGGAGAATTCGTGGTGTTCCCGTATAGACTGCAGTATGCTAGAATATGTGCTTGATCAAATAATGCTTAGCCGGTCACCTCATCTTCAACACTATCAAAGACTTATGTGAGGGCGTAAAATGAAATGACTATGTTTCGTATAGGTTTGTCTTGAGAGGATCACCTTGATGACAGCCGCTAATAAAACTAGCTTTGAGACAGCTTATCGGCCCGGTTTTTGACAGTTTTTCTAGCTGAACTGGATTGAATGGTTCGGGGCTGTTTTTCTAGAACAACCAAGGAGCATCTATACACTATTTATCATCGGCTTAGGCGAGTTACTTCTTGGTTGACGTAGTACACAACTGGGTCTTTTGGGGCATGTCATCTGGAAGTGTGCTCGATTTATCCAGGTATTTCATAGATTGGCATTTACATGAAAAACGCCACCTGTCATTTTAGTCTATACAGACTGATGGCAGGGGTGATTCATTAGCCATCAGATAATCTACATTGTCTTCTGAGGCCGCTTCCAAACACTTGAAACAAATGTTACCCGCCCCAAACAACCCAATGCTACGTCCTTGGCCTCTTTGCGATAGAATGCTAACGGCTGCGAGACGGGCTGCCCAATTGCCGTGAGCACGGAAGATTCCCACGCCCTCTGGGCTATCTAGTGGCTC